CAAATTTTTTCTAAATTTTCATTTTTAATAATATTAAAAATGAAAAAAAATACTACTAGTACTACTATTAATAAAATGCAATAATTATCATTAAAAATACTACATACGATTAAATATAAAATCTACTCCAACATCGAATTATACGAAGACAACATCACCTTATTATTATTCAAAAGAAGCAAATTTTTATATTTTATTTTTTAATAAAAACACCATTACTACCATTTATTTTTATATCTAAACAGGTTTTTACTTTTTACTTTCTAAAGTAATTAACGAAATTCAAAATTTAAAGCGATACCAATCTTTTGTTCTGAAGTAATTTCTTTTTCCGTAAAGCAGATATAGATTTTTATACAATATTTTAATTGTCAATAACAGTTTTGCCCCGCACCACACTTTTAACATGTAGTACACCACACCCCCGCCCCCCCGCCCCCTTTCGTTTTACATTATTAAACAACGATCAGACCATAACTTAGGCACTAAGAGAAGGAAAAGAGGCTTTCAAGAAACGCAAAGATTCGAATTATAATAATGCACTTTTCTTCTTTCAGAGTTTCAGTGCGCCCAAATGTATTAAAGTAACAATTACCAATGAGAGAGAGTTGGAAGCCCGACGGTGTCCAATATCAATGTATAAATAAGAAAAAGAAGTTAACCACATTAATTATCGCATATGTATGTCTTCCAAGACATTCATTTTACAACGTTGAAAACAAGTCAGAAGTAAACGTTAGGTTTTGCAATCACCAGTATATAAAAAATGAAAAAAGAATATTTCATTCACATGAGAATGACTTTGGATCTACAACATGGTGCTTTCTCAAATCCGTTTCAAAACGGGATTTCCAATTTTATGTAAACATGGTAGTATATCCACAGTTAGCAGCCGCTTGATGCATCAGAATTTCATAACTATATCAAAGTCTAGTTTTGCTACTAGTTCCCATCTGCAGTATTTGCTACCAAGTTCCAACATTTTCCTGGAATATTTGCACATCCAGAATGGCAGTGAGTGAAGAGTAAGCATCTTCTATAGTTTTATAATCTTTGGTGTGTTCTTGGTTCATTCCGTATATACCTGCAAAAGAAAATTGAATATACAACCTTGCAGATATTAAATCACACATTTGGAGAACTCTCTGTGGGCGCTAACTTCTGACATTGGGCATTTGCCCAATTTATGGTAAGTTAGGGTTGGCAAGACCCATAGATTCTGCAACTTCCCTAGCAGCTAAATTATCCGCTTGTTCCTACACACCACAATTAACACAATGATTAATGATATGTCTAGAATTGGAAATAAAATTTTTCACACAAATAGTAATTTTTCTCTTTTTGCTAGTGGATTCCTACAATTAACTATTCATAAGGCAATTGCGCAAATGGTCAGATAACCTTACCTGAAGATGATGCAACAAATACATCAAGAAGAGATGTACAAAGACCTGCATATTTTTCCCGCACGGTTATTGTAGATTTTTTATTCTTTCACATTATCCTTCTATTAAGACATTTCTACAATGATGAGGTGAAACTAATCTTACAAGATAGAATAGCAAGATTATTCTAGCTGTTGGATATCGCCAAAGAAATCTTGTGGCCCTGACAGCCCCTGAATCCAGTAACTTTGCTGCCTTCTGTAACTGCACAAGGCAGTTGAAACACGAGAGTCAGAAAAACCATATGGGATGGTAAGGTGGTTTTGGGATATAAGAGTGGGAATACCTGTATGCTTGCAGCAGCCATGTGACGGTGATGCAACGGAAGAGGCCTGCAATTATTAACTTGATAAGGAAATTTGAAAATATCGAAAGCTAACACACAAGTAAATTAAGAGGAGGCAAAATATTCCTGCAGGGGGCCTGCCCAATACACTAAGTGCAGCTAAAGAAAGTGTATTCATTTTTGCTTCACATTTATTTACTTCATAAAAGTAATAGGAAGAAAGGATAGGTTGAAGGAAAGCCAAAAAGAATAATTCAATCACAAATGTCAACACCCGAATATTGCATGAAGAGTGCTGTTGTAATTTGAAGGCATTACAACCCAAGAAGGAATGCAAGGACAATGACCAAGGTGTTAACAAAAAATGAACTCCTATAGTTAATAGACGGATGATTCAGCCCACTACAGACTCAAAGAATTCCCTTTTTTTCCTTCTTCTTCTTCTTTTCCTTTTTCTCCCTTCATACGAAAGGATGAGAATTCAGATAATCTAACTGGTCATAACAGCTACATTATATTGCACCTTTCTCTCATTGTGCTCAAGGTTGCACCCCATGATTCTTTCCTTACAAAATATAAAATACCATGGGAATGTAAATATTTGAGGTTGCAAACCACAGCAATTAATTGCTTAATTTTACAAACAAGCTGCTAACATCTGCTAAACTATTTCATTCTTTTATCCGAAGGAGAGATGCATGGAAATAATTGTATCAGGTAATCTAATTGACCCACAACAACTGCACACTTACAACAGCTAATGGTCCTGCAGAACATTTAAATTATAATAGATTCATATTCAATCAAATACAATAGAATTTCACAAATCACATGTTTCCGAAGAGGAAAATCAAATCTCAAAAAAAAAAAGGTAATGTATATTCTTTCTAGCTAATAAAATGTACATATCTCAATATGCTTAATAAGATGCTGAAACTTGCAGAGAAAGGGTTCAAGGATTCTAATCTAATAAGAAAAAAAAAAAGCTTTAACATACTCTAGTGCTTTGATTTCAGTGTCTTCTTCCCAGGAAGATGATGCCCGACGAGGAACCCTACTTCTTTCTACCTCAACCTGTTGAGTATAATGGTAGCATCACAGGCAAAACAAGGATATTTAATACCATTAGTTATAACAATATAGAGATAATAAGTCTTGCAGCACAGAAATCAATAAACCTGTGCTTCTTGAAGACGCTTTATTTCCTTCTCCAAATGGAACTCAGCCGCAGCTTTTTCACTAGCCATAGTTTCTAACTGTGTTTGCTTGTAGTACTGCATAATGGTGTACACACAAGAAGTCGGCACATACAAATAGATGTTGCAAGAATAAGTGAAAAAGTAAACCTCGGTTTGTATTACCAATAGGTCAGTTAGTTCACGGTAGCGTTTCTCTAGCTCCATATGCTCCTGATAGAAGGCACCAATATCATTCAAAGCACAGAACAGAATGCACCATGAAGAAATACAGTATATAGATGCACATACAAAACAACTGAACTGAATTCCATCATTCATTTTAGACAGGAGCAAGAAAATTTAAGACATTATATATCAATAATAGCAACTCTGCAACACAGCTTCTACTTCAGGAATTTTCTCCTTAGTTGTCTGCATATTTCGATTAAAAAAATTATCTGGGGTGTCTTACTACGGCCTCAGGCATAGGTCACGCTATAGATGTTCTCTACCACTAAAATTTTTCAGGAACCTTGCTCCTAACGACTCAAATAAATTTCATGTGCATGAATACATGACAACTTTAAGAGAAGACCAAACAAATTCAAGTTACAAACACAAGGACAGATTGTTCCGTAATGATCTGGCATGCACAGTAAGATCTGACAACTTTGAGAAGTTGGTTGAACCCAAACATACAAGAGAATTAAGACCATGTACAGCTGATATGCAGCTAGATAAAGCAGACAAGCAATAAAATTTAAGGCTTTACTAAGTTCAGCAGTCACTATAATCAACACTGGCAGCCTCTATGGCAACAATACTATCGATGAAGCTATAATATCTTCATTTCTGATTAGTCCCATTTTGATTAAGGTGTGTGAATGTAAGTGTTTGAGTAAAGAAAGAAAAAAAGATGAACATATTTGAACAGTTACCTGGCGTGAATAATGCTCAGCATCCCTTTTCATGGCAGCCATTTCGACCCTCATTTTCTGCACTTCAGCCTGCAGCCAGACAAATTGATCACGGAAAACAAATCCGTAATCAGCCAGTAAAAGTAATCAGAATAATCTTCTATAATTGTATGATAAGAACAATTACAACTGTATTCAGAACAGAAAAACACTCGATACTTGCCTCCAATGAAGAGAGCTTGCTCTCGGCATCTCTTTGACCTTGGCGTGCACGCTCCACTTCCTCCTGCCATGCCTGCATCTAATATCATCTTCTTTAAGTCCTTGCATGCCATAATTACTACAGTTTCTGCTACAGCTAAAGGCTACGGATTATGCCTGTAACTAGAAATGCTTTTTAAACAGTTGAACTTCAGAATGTTCCTAATGATGTAGAAACCCATATCCAGTAGATTACATGATTGAGATCAAATTAGTAGGATGCCTTTTATTGCTAGTCTGGCTGCAAGGAAATGGTCCAAAAATGTCATTTACAAAATAGATTTCAGATAGTTACCGCCTCATCACATTTACCTGAATCATTTGATTTGCTTCGTCTGGAGACTTCTTCTGTCCACGACGTGCACGAGCTTCCATATCTTGCAGTTCTTGGTTTAGAGTTGCACATTCAACCTGATACCATATCAGGTTAATTTTAAGAGTCTTTACATTTCATATCTACCTCAGTCAAAAGACAAACTTTCGCAAAAAGGAATGGTTATTAGTTTGCTTATATACCTCAAGAAGTGCCACCTTCTGCTCAAGCTCTCCAGCCTTTGTTGTCCTCTCATCTGCAACCCTCTGGGCAAAGAAACAAGCAGCAATTTACAATGCTTGATGAAATATACATAGCGGTCAAATGACAACATACACCTTACTTTGCTGAACAAAGAAGAAGCACGAGCTTCGCCAAAAAAATTTAGTGATATTTTGAAATCCCAAACTGTAGATGACATACAAACTACAGGACAGACAGTTGATTTTTGAATCAAAAAGAAAATCAAACTAAGGAAGATATGGCTCCATAATGGTGAAACTAGTGGCACTAAACTCATCATTTAGAGCAATTCGAAACAAGTTTAACAACTATGAACGATGTGTGATAAATTTTTATAGCTTCAGTACAACAGTTGGCGGAAAACTACTAGATTAGTAAATATGAAACCGAAAATGAGAAGTCAAAGTGCCTTTGAGATTACTGTATCCTGATAACCAAATTCATTTGGATGGCCTTTTTTTTGCCACTTTAGCATTTCATGTTTTCTCAAAGAAAGAGTAGTGGTAAATAAGATTGTGCAGGTATACCAGGCTTACACATCATACTGTAACACCAGAACCCCAAGAATTCAGAACACAAACATCCAATATACCATTACAATCACATACTTTCGTTGTCAAGAAAGAAGTGCCAAACAAAAAAAATTTATAAAAAAAATGTAATATGTTAGCAAATGATAGTTTTATTAGATTAGCATATTTAGAAATCCAAAAAATTGACATAACTTCACCAAACAGATATTAATGCAAAATTTCCACCATATCAAGGCAATAACTGAACCAACTGATATCTACTTAGAAAAGCATCAGCAAAAGGTTAATTCAAAAGGCTTACATTATATTCAACTCAAAATTGTATTGAATATGCAATTCTTCATTACTCAAGCAAAACAAGAATATTATGCATGCAACTTAGGAGCTGATTTTTGTCATGAAATCAGAAACAAAGAATCCTTACATTACCTGGATCCTAGCAAGAGCTGTGGATGCCTCAACAGCTCGATGCTCCAATTCCACTTCCCTTTCCATGGCACCCTTTTCCATAAAAAAATAGAGATTATTAGAGTGCAAGATAACAACAACAAATTAATAAATAAAACAAATGTTCCAATTATAGACCATTTTAGTAGCATTATGGGCTGCACGTTCTTCTTCTGCTCTCCTTTCTGCAGAAGCCAGCTCCTCACGTAAGGCCTAAGAAGAATCATACAAATAAATTTAACAAGGTCATAATGAAACAGTAATTTATGTGTTTGTGTGTGTGTGTGTGTGTGTGTTGAGTAAATACACATGCATGTGCAAGGATATGATAACAATCTGATTTAAAATCGTACAAGAAAGAAAGGATCAATTAGTTTACCTGCATCATCCTTGTCTCTGTTAATTCCCTGTTTCTCATAATAGACTCCATGTTTGCCTGATGTTATGCAATCAAAAGTATTAACAAACATCAGATAATTAAAAGATGCAAGTCAAGAGCACATATTGATTATCCGTAGAAGAGAGGGAGAATGTCTAAATGTAGAGGTAAAATAAAGGAGCATATAGTAACTAAAAAGAGTGATACAAAAGCAGACATGCATATTACAATTTGCTTAGGTTTGTTGCAGCAATGAGAAGACATGCATAACAAAACCTAAAAAGCTTATAGTAAATTCACGAATGAGCTAAGTTTTGTTTTAAAAGACATAAAATAAGCTCTTTAGGTATTCTATCATGACAAAAGCATGACTCACAGAAGTAAGTGGCAGGATCTATACTTTTTATTTAGCTTATAAAGCTCTTAATTGTCAGATATACAGAATCTGTTGTTATAGGAATTATCACTTTTAAAATAAACCACATAAATCCACCCACCAAATCAAACAATTTAAAGCCACAATGTATATTGCATGCTTGATAATTGTTGCAGTGATTATTTCAGTTGGTAATAAGGTCTTCTAGAACATAATTTCAAATTAGAAATTAAAAATATTACTTTAGATGAAGTACTAAGTAGAGACCACATTTATGTATGATAAAGCATTTTGGGAAAAGGGGGGCTAGATAATCAACAATAACTGAATATAGTTCTAGAGTCAAACCTGCAGTGATGCCAGATTTCCTTCAGATAAAGCAGCTTGTTTCTTAAGTGCATCCAGTGAATTGACAAGTGCCTCAATCTCAGAGTTCTTTGCTGCCAAAGCCTCAAGCATATTTGACTCTACCCTTGTTACTTCACTCTTAGATACAGATAAATCTTGCTGTAGTTGTTTTATACGAGCCTCATAAGATTTACTCAGCTCTCTCTGTCAAGGGAGCAATTTAGTATTAAAATAGTACTTCAACAGCATTCATGACAAGCATAACTATAACTTGAAAATTGATCCAAAAGGAGAAAAGGGAAAGAATGATTTACCTCAGCAATTAGAAGCTCCTCAAGCTGTGCATTCTCAGATTTATATTCTTGAAGACGGGATGAAAGTCCAGCACAAACCTGGGAATCAGTGTAGAACAATTTGGTATAAATACCAATATACAAAATTAGGAAACAAAGAGAAAGAAAGGGGACAAAATGCAGAAGTCTAATCTGTGAGCGATTACTTAGAAGGAGGTATAAAAACACTCCCGATCTTTCACAAGTTCAGCTGATTCAATTTAAAACTTACTCTTTTTATGAAAACAATTTTTTTGAACAAGATTATTCTTCCAAGCATTTAACAGAGTTATTCTCAAGTTTCTGCCTAATTACTGGATGAACACATATATGATTCAGATCAATTATGTACTAAATGCACTAAAAGCATAAAAAAAATAACAGCAAAATAGATGCTTACATAACCATTAACAGACTTCAAAAAAGAGAAACAAATTATGACAGTTTCAACCCAAGAGTGCAGCTTATTCTGATTAATAACAAAATTATATCAAGGACACTCCATCATATGCCATCCCACTCGTGTATCCCTTATGGTCGGTTACTGAAGTCTTCTTCTTTAAGAGCAGTACATAAGAATGATGCTCACGTCTTCATATACAATTTAGTCTCAATATTCTTCTGAAAAAGGAACACCAATAAATTCAGAGAGCTTACCCGAGCTAGTCTTGCCTCTTTTGATTGACCAGTGGGATTTGTGGTTTTAAGCAGTCCTTGAGCCTAGAAAAAAATTTAAGGACTAGTGAATAAAGCATTTAGATGGAAGACACAGGAGAAGATTCAAGGAATCAACTATAATTTCAGCTTGCGTAGATTTGTCACCTCATCAAGTTGGTCCTGGACTTTCATTGGAGGAGTATCAGCTTTTTGCTCTTGTGGCTTCATTTGATTCACAGGAGTTTCAACTTTAACATCATCTTCTTTTACTTGAGCTTCAGTGTTAACAGGAGAATCAGAAACTACAGGTTGTGACCTCTCTTGATCAGTCTTCATAGGAGCATCTGCACTTTCAAAATCAATGTTTTGGCCACCATTGGCTAAATGATCTTCACTAACAACCTCCATTTCTTTGGCAGCTAAAGGTGAAGAAGGTTGCTCTGCATGAACATCAGAAGCATTCTCATTGAGAAGCTCGCCATTTGAAGTTGACAATGAAGCTTCTGCATTGCTATCAATTGCACGGATTTCTTCCTGATCAGCATCATGTATAACCACATTGGTTTCCAATGGTTCAGAAGAAGGAATTCTAGCAGTATCTTTCTCACTGCTGCTGTACTGCTCACTACTTGTCTGGACCAAAGACTTAGCAATAGGGTTTCCCTCATTGTCAGAAGAAAGAGCACCGTTATCTTTATCAGGTGTTATGTCTGATTGTAATACTTCTGAACTTGTTTGTTCACGGACAGTATCACTAGGTTTGGGAGATTTAGTTGCAGAAAGTCTTTTTTGAGCCTGCAAACAAGTAAAACCATAAAATGAAATTTTTTTTATAAAATATTACTTAAAATGAATATATTTAAAGCTAATCTGAGGTTGTATGCTTGTAATACCTTTGTCCTTGACTTTGTCTTTTTTGCTGAAGAACCTAGCACATTAGAAGCTTTACAATTAGAAGAGGGGGATAAAAATGTGTGTCTATGAGACTGTGATAGGGTGAGAAAGACAGAGAGAAGCAGATATTGCAAGTCAAAGAGCAAAATAGAAGATAGCTCGGTGTTATTACAATAAGCCTCTTAGACAAGAATAAAAGACTTCAACAAGATTTTATTTTTCACCTCAGAATTCAAGCTGATGTTATAATTTTCTGGGTTTTTTATATTTCTAATCAACAAATTACCAGATTCTGATTACCATGAAGCTTGACATATCCAATTTTCACCTCTTCAGGAAAGAAAATTCAAGTTAGATTTCTCTTCTTCTCAATTATGCATCAAATTCCAAATAAAATTTCACTTTAATTTCCAGCAGAAATGGAAAAGGAGCGCCTCAAAGATCCTGCATATTGTTATTAAGTTCAGCCAAACTTTAACATTCAAGGCAATTTATGTATTGGTGCAATCGAAGCAATTTTTGTATTAGTGCAAATTGATAATAAATAACTAGCAAAGGTTGCTAAACTGAGGTTCATGTAAGGATGGTCTTAAAAAGAATATCTATTTACATTGATTTTATTTGACTAAGCAAATGACCCAATATGAGATGGCCAGTCTAATTGCTACTGAGACATAATCTCATATTGCTACTGAGGCATAATCTCATAATAAGCCAACAGACTTTTATAAGTTAAGTCTCGCTATTAGACTAATACTGTTGATATAACCATGAATAGGAAATTGAAGTACAAAGACACCAAACTACGTCTTTAAGATTGATTTACAAATGAAAATAATCCCTAGATTTTGAAGTATCCTCACCTTGTAACTGAGAATCAGATTGCTCCTCTGACAGTTCACTAACAACCAGCTTTGCTCTTCGATCTACAACTTCGAATAAATCTGGCCCAAAATACTTCCTTCAATTATTATCAAATCACAGAAAAGGAAATGTGAATGCTAATTTTGCCGATGGATGGCAAGCATTGCCCGGAAGAATAGGAAAATATTGAAACGTAAAGAGCAAGAGCGTGTGATAAGTCTTTAGAGACCTTTTGCAGAAGTGCTAAAGGTTCAGACCACATCAATGTTACCCCTTGCATACCTTTATATTGACCTTTTATACAGAATATTTAAAAAAAAAAAGGAACAAAAACATTGCAGCAAAATTTGTATGAAAAATCAACATCCAACAGACAAAATAGATGAAGAAGATTTATGAACCTGTTGCCAACCAACAAATGCAGGGACTTTCTGATACAAACTCCCTAGAGCAGGCCTCAAGATTCAAATAAAAACCAATAGTTTTAGTTGAAATATTTATTTTTCCATGAAAAGAAAAATTCTGGGACTTCCCAGTAACATTGACATTCTCTAACATGAATGAAAAATAACTTCCCCTACAACAGATTTAGAACTACAGGAACAGCATCAAAACCAACCCCCTAATACAGAGTCCTAACATTCACAATATTAAAGCTATCTATTAGATATTGCAGTACCTAATACTAGACAACTAATCAAGATTTCTCATCTCAATTTCTCAACACTATACAATGGCCATAATAGACCGGCAAATAAACTGCAGATAGTACTTGGACTCAGAATTCCATCACACGTAGCACTCAAAAAGAACCAATAACAACAAGAATTACAATACCCATCCCACAATGTCAATTCCATCCAGCAATCATTTTGCCATCAAATGTTTGTTTACACCAACCCAAAAACATCAATTGAACTGTTGCTTGCTGCAAATAGACTCCTGGCATTGGCATTACCAAGAATAGCCAATAATTAAGAAAACTAGGATCCAAATTGCACACTCCAAAATCTAACAAAAGCAAATTCCCTTCCAGACAGGCAACTAGTAATTCTAAATTTTCTCAAATGAATAAACATGCCATAGTCACTCATCACATTTCTAAAGTAAGCTTAACTGGGGTTCAGTCTTTACTGCAAATTGTGTCAAATACGATATCAGATAACTCCAACGAAAAAAAAAATCTATCTTATAATTTTAAGGGGGGAAGGGGGAACTAAAATCTCCATGCCTTTTAGATCATATCCAGCTAATCACCAGCAATTTACAGGTAATTCCAAAAGTAAACAAATAAAACTTAAACTAAACGACCTAATCCATTAAATCTCACGTTTATTCCTGCTTCATTATGATTCAATAATTCAAATCTTTAGATCAGACATTCAAAATTCAATTAAGAACTTCAAAGTCGAAAAATGAAAAACCAAAAAAAAAAATTTAGGTTGCAATAAATCGAAAGAAGAGAGCCACACCTTCGGCGGCTTTAAGCCACGAAGCCATTGGTTATGCCTTATGAATCTGGAAGAAAATCGTGCCCTAGAGATGGATCCACGGAGCTTCCATGCACCGGCGAGTGAGATTATCAGACGATGTCAGTGAAATTCGGCGTAGCTATAATGAAATGGTAACGAGCTAGATCTCTGCTAGGATCAAGAGCGCGATGGTCTCTTAGCAAAATGAAAATATTATTGGAAATTCTGGAATAGCATTTGAGCTTTTTTATAATATTAATCTTATTTTAATTTTAAAATGTCCTAAAGATGCCGTTTCTGCAGCTGTTTTGTTACAGACAGCTTATTATTATTCCAAAATTAAAAATAAAAATGTCGTTGAAGACACTGTGGTTGGTTAAGGTGTACATTGCAAGTAAAATTGATTAATTGATAATTCGATTTTGTGTTATAATTTTTAAAATAAAATGATTAATTGATGATGATCACGTGGTATCGACAACATGATATTAAAGACACTTCGCTCTTCTGGACCGTCCAGTACTGATCCTCCGGTCCACCGCCATGCTCACGTTTCTTATCATCTACAAGTAAGTTTGTCGAAGCATTTTTGTTTTTTATTTTTTAACCATTTAACATTCACAATCATTTTCTTGTTACTTTTACTGCCTGATGATTTATGTCTTTGAAAGTAAAAATAAATGACACATTTAGATGTACAAACAAATTATAAATAAATTATGTAATTTTTAAATAATAAAATTAGTAATTCTACTGTTTTATTAAGTCACTGTATTATAATTGATTTTATAATTAATTATAGATTTTTTTTGACCTTTTATCTTTATGTTATTTTTAAGGGGAAAAAATAATAAGCAAATAGTATAAACAAATGTCAAAATCTGAATTTAGTTTTTCTACTATCTCAAACTCAATTATGAGGTTTAGTCTTTTTATTCAAATATTTTAATGAGTTTATTTTTTAAAATTTTTATTAAAAATCAATTTAAATATAATTGATAACATTATTAAGATTTTACAATTAATTTAAACCACCTAACTTTTTTGTTTGACGTAACGTGCCAACCTGAATTTTTTATCATGTAACTCATATTTATAAAAATATATTTTTTTCAAATTTTAAAAAATCTATTATTTATTATCTAATTGAAATAAATATGAGGTTTTTTAGGCTCAAGTGCACTAAGTAACCAAAAATTAAACTACCTTAACATATTAAGTCATCATCAAAATACTACATTAGACAAAATTTTAACATTGTTATTAATTGTTTGTAAATCATCTTTTAATAAAAGTTTAAAGATTAAATTAAGATAGAATAATTAAAATGGTCAAATTAAGATAATAAAAAGATTAAATTCAAGCTTTGACCAATAAGCAAAAGGAAGAACATGTATCATTGATCATCCATCAATCTTAATACTATGTTCAAACTTCAAATAACAGGTCAAAAAGTTCATTTTAATATTTTGCATATACTTATTTTTCTTATATGAATACTTGTGAAATTTGTTGGACAACAATGGTAATCTTTTTAATTATCCTATTGTAGTGTTTGTTTTTGTTTTGGAAAAACTTAAGCTCATCAAATGCTTATTAGATAGATTAAGATGAAATTCAAGTCATTAGGCTACTTAAGATCAAATGCTTCCATTTTATGTCTAGAAAGAGTGCTTGGAGATGTGGTACTTGGTCTTTACGTGAGTGGGCAAGCTTAAGGTTTGGGGCCATAGTTTTCAAAAGGACAGGCTTCAGCCCATCTAGAAAGTTGTTCTCTAATTTTGTTATCTTCTTAGTGGCCCATTTACTAAGCCCTTGGTTTCAAGCTCCAAATTCATTATTTTTGAAAATTTAAATAATGGATACGGTCTAAATTTGTTAATTAATTTGATACGATAAATCAAATTTGCCATCTATTTTTTAATAAATGTAATCTTATTATTTTATTTTTTAATTTGATTTATGTAAAATTAAACATATTTTGTTGAATATTCTTTTGTTTCATTACCTAATATTTAAACAATAAAAATAGATGCACTGGTTCCTAGTATATTTCTCTTTATTTTTTTCTTTGGGTAATTCTTAGCTGTGATTGACACTAGGTTGAATCTGGTTGAGTTGAACGCAACATATACTAGTTATTTATTTATTTATCTCGAAAGAGATAATTTTTCACGGAAGATCATTTTTAGATGATGACTAGATAACCTTGTCAGAATATCTTCTACATATCTGCAAATTCCTATTCCTTTTCTAAAAAGTTTTTTTGAATAGTCTTGAAGAGAGATAATTTATTATTGTTAGTAAATAAAATTTAATACCATCAAATTTACCTTACAAATTTTAAGGAAGAGAATAGTATCGGATTTTCTTTACAGGTTTTAGGGAAGAAAAGAGAAATATTTAACTTTATTTTACAATTTCTAGGAAAGAGAGAGCATTAGATTTTTGTTACAAATTCTAGGGCAGATAAGAGAAAGATTTGACTTTATTTTATTGTTGAACAAATTGTGTGTCTTTACTAGTTTCAATATTATAAAAGTTGTGTGTTCTACTTTTACTCTTCTTCTTCCCAAAATCGTTTTTGGGTATTCTCGAACTTCTATCCATCAACTTCAGTCAAGCAACAATGGCTTCAATTAAACTGAATAAATTGGATTTGTTTTTTTTATTAAGAATGATGGCTTTAGTTTGAAACAATTAGGTTTTTATTTTAGATTTCTCATTAATAATTTTTAAACATTTGAAAATGAAAAAACCTAATTCTAAGTCCACATGACACTTATATGATCAAGATAATACATCAGCATGCCATATGACAGATAATATGATATAAAAAATTATTGACTATATCGTTAACCAAAAAATATTAGTCAACAATTAACAAGATGAGCTTACGTAATTTAAAATAAAAATTTAAAAACTTATTTGAATGCAATAAAAAAATAAAAGTTAAATTGATTTTTTTATATAGTTTATAAATTATTTAGATATTTAATCAAACATTAAATGTGAACAAAAATAAACAATAAAAAGGTAAAATGGAACCTTAATTAATTTCAATATTTTTTATCACCATCTCTGTCTCCTAAATTAGTCAATTCCCTCAAAAGCCACAAAAAACCTGAAATCTAAAACGTCCAAAAATAAAGCGCTAACTCTAGTGTGCACCCAGCCTTTATGGAACAAAGAGACGCTCTACCTAACAAAGCAAGAAGTTTCACTGGATACAGCTTTTGTATCGGCTCCACTCACCAAAAGCTTTTAAGGAAAAAGAGAGCCCAATCTCAATCCATGCTCCAATAAGTCACTAACAATCAACAACACACAGCCCCACTCTCAGACCCCTCCTGAGTCCTGGCTCAGCCCTGTCTTGTTCACCCTTTTTTGTTCCTGAGTTCTTGTCCATAGAGTCTGCTTTGCCATAAACCTCGGTGTCTCGAGGGGACAACATTACAAGATTAAAGCTAAAGCAAAAATTTCGGTAAAAAAGGGTTCCTAAGCAACGATCATTATCCGGTTAAAATCGTGATTATCCGAATATGAATACGTGGCCATCAACAAATGAGCAGCATAGATTTTTAGTAATGGAATTTAACAGCGCCACAGTGACATAGATTCTAACTTTTCCACGATGCATTAACTAAAAACCTGTCAAGCTGAAAGTGAAAATGACCTGAAAGCTTGAATGATGGATGTAAAAGTCACATGAGTCAAAATCAAACCAAGGTCGTGCAGGTGCAGGGCACGTGTTTGCAATTTGAGTGTGAACTGTGTTCGAAGTATGAAAAACGAAAAAGTGACGACCACAAAAGTATCAGTGACGGTATGTTTCTAGCTTTCAGCGTCGCGATGTTATGTTACATGCATAATTTTATATATATATATATATAACTAACAAAGGCATGGTATCGTGGTTCATTGCTTTGAGAGGGAGAACAAGAAACCCTCTTAAGTGCTGGAGAGAGACTCAACTTCAATCATTTATGGAACCATAATAATTCTTACCCACTATTCATCATAGTTATTTTCTTGCACCATCAATTTCTTTGTTCCTTTTACCTCCCAAACGTTCTTGCTACTGTCTTCGCTTCCAGATTTATATAGACAAAAATGTTGCTTTTTGTGTTAAGTTGTAAGTAAACAAAAATGACTTGTCTATAATCTCTTGAGAGAATATATATGCCAAGAGGGTTGCGGAATGTGGACACCTTGAATGAATAATTTATTAATTCATATGAATTTTACATAATTTTAGATAGTAATCGTTTTGGATAAGATATCAACAACAAAATTTCATCATTAAAAACTAAGTTAATTAGATTCTTCTAATTAATAGTTGAAGTTAATTAGATATGTGAGGATCTAGATATATGTTGAGTTGAATTAAAGTTATGGTATGTCAGCATTCGGAGCTCAACTAATTAAATTCTATGTGATAGAAGAAGTAGAAGATCATGAGAAATTATGGTTGGTTCAAATTTGAAAGAGTTTAGTCAATTAATATCAAACAAGAAGAGAAAGGAAAAGTGTTAAGTTAGGTTGCCCAACAGGAAAAAGCATATAAGAAATTCAATGATGTGAGTGCCCATCTAAACCGAGCGGAAATGGTCAAAGTTAAAGCTATATATTTAGCTCAACCGTAACTTTTGGACCATTAATTGTTATACATTAATTACATTTCTAGTAATATTAGTTTTCAAACCAACTGCACCTGAAAATGAAATTACTAATATTTTAATACGAAGATATTTGAGAGTAAGATTTTTTTTTTCTCTTTCTTAATGTGACTGTTAAATTGACTTGTGTGCGAACTTGTTTGACACTACTTATGAAAAAATTTTGATTAAATTAAGTTCTTTTTTTCTTTTTTTCCAAAAGGTATTTTCAACCATAGTAATAACATTTTTTTGTTTATTTAAAAATTTTATTAAATTTGTCTATTACCCTAAGTTTGGATTTGAAAATTTTTTCCCTATGCCTTGTCACATGTTCAACCATGTACCGATGGACACCCCCATGCTTCCTTTCTCCAAAATATTCCATAAAAAATTAGATAAGTATAATAAAATACTATATAACAACGATTAATTATATAATCATAGTTATATTGCTACTATGAAACATGATCCGCACATGAATCAGGAGAAAATTTTGATGCAGGCAGAAATTAAAATAGTATACTACTAGTAGTAAAAGTAGAGAACTTACTTAGTACATTCATTCTGGGGCAGGTAGCATATTTAATTAAGAAACACCCAATAGGAAAACTGATTTTTTACTCTCATTCATGGCAAACTCATAACTACGTAAATGAATCACAGCCACAACGATCGCTAATCGCTATCATAAAGACAGCAAAAAAACAAATACAAAAAGCATTTTAGAGAAAGAAAACCTAAAAAGCTAATACATCCAAAGCTCTCCACTTACCAACCTTAAGTAATTCATTAAAATTCTCTATTTTTGCATGCCTCAACATGTATTAAACTATCTATGCTTTAATTACCTTTTAACTTACTTCATTGGGACGAATTTTTTAAAGGAAAAGAAATTAACTATACTTAGTGTAGTACCAATTATATATATATATATATATATATGTATACATATACATATTTATATATAATTTTTTTCTCTTTTTTATTTCTGTATCAAGATTATTGACATCGGTAAATGAAAAAGAAAAGTAAAAACACTGAATCCAAAAAGTTACAAATATGAATATCTTAAAAGATTTCCTAATCAGAAGAAAAAGCAAACTACACTGTAACACCCAATTAACCAAACTTTGTCAGATCAAAAATTCTCACATGATAGCAAAATTAAAGTATTATGGTCATATATGCAAATCATGTGACTTTGGTTTAGCTTGGTTTTGCTTTTGAAGGTGTGATAATCTTCTCCTGGGAAGCATGGAATTGAAGTATACAAACGAGATTTCTGTCATCATCGACCCCATGTGTTATGAGCGGGTGACTCAAAGGCAGACAATCTTTTCTGTGACTTAAGGTCCTTGTAAAACTTCTTAATGAACTCCTCAGCCGCCTTATCCACCTGGCTATCTCCCTCGTCCTTCAACGGGAAAGGCGAGTCCGTCACTCGCAGTTGCCTCACCATTGGGCTCCTTCCAAACCCTGGCAAAACCATGGGTGACGCCTCTACGGCCGCCGCCTCATTGTTCAACATCTCGAGAACCTTTTGCACCGCCGCAACCGTCGTCACATCTTCGTAATGGTAATTCGATGACTTGCCAAAATGGTGGCGGTTGTTGTAGTAATTATAGTGGTGGTGGTGCTTACGCTTGTGGGCATAAAAAGGGTAAAAAGCGGGGCTGTTGCTGCAGCTAAACTCGTATTCTCTTGGGGAAATGAAGGAGAGATGAGCATCGTTGGAGCGGCAACTCAAGGAAGACAAATGGTCGTGGACTTTGTGGTGGAAGACGAGGTTGCTTATGGCTTTGCCTGCATTATGTTTGCCCTTCTTGAGCATAAAATGGAGATCAACCATTATTTTGCTCTTTGATATCCCCGTCTTTAAGAAAACTATCCGTACAATGTTCCACAGTTTTTTGGCTACAACCCGTGGGCTTGCCTCCATTTCCATTTTGTACTTCGTAGGGTGAGTGAGAGAGAGCCTTTTTTTGTTCTTTTTCTTCCTTTTTTTTTATATTTCTTTTATTTTTGGGTGATTTTTGAGAGAGTAGGGGGAGAGAGAGGGAGAGAGAGTTAATAGAGAAGAAGGGATCTTTGGTTTTGGACGCAAGGAGCGATGAGATGCAGAGAGCTATATAAAGGGCTGGAAAATAATTATTTATTAATCAAGGTTAATAATATAAACAAGCAAATAATCCCCACTCTCCACTACAGCGCGTTTTCCGAAGAACAACGAAAGCTTTCTAAAATTAAAATGCTGAAGAAAAGTCGTCACTTCATAAATCTTTCACGCGCTTCAAAAGGGGAGGTTTATGATTTCCATGCAAGAGAAATAGTGGTCGAAAATTTTCATTTGTTTTTTTTATATATTTTTTGGGCTATTCTTTTCTTTTCTGCATTAGAAAAGTTGCACTCGAAATTACTAGAAGAACCCTAACACAAAGCCAAATTACTTAAGTAAGTCCGTCGGGTTCAATGATTAAAGATATTTAGGTGTGCTGGAAGCATCGAAAAAGGGCTTTGCCGTGGACGCTAAGGTGAGCTTCATAGTCTAGATCACCGCTCAATTGGGTTAAATCTTCACCGTTCATAGCTTCATCTTTACCGTCCGTTTTGCATATTAAAAGATCACATTAAATAGCCCGTGGACCCCTGGCTAGCAATGTGTGACAGCATTGGCAAATTATAGCTAGCCAAACTTTGGTGAAAATTCAAAGTCTAACAGCTCATAATCATAACACATAGCTAGGGCTCAATCGTAGATCTGCATGCTTTTGTCTAGGCTAGTTAAATGGGGAAGAGATTTAATTTTTCTCACTAGTATTAATATACATCTGTTAGACCCATAACGCATTTAATAAGAAAATGATAGTTTTTACTCTCATACGTTTACTTCAGTCTTCATCGTGTTCTACTCCTTATTTTGGACACTTGATTATGATAAATTAAAGATATGGAAGTGAGTTTATTTGAGAGTAAAAATAATTTCAAGTAAGTTTTATTAAGTTTGCTCTAACTTAGGTTGGTGGACATGTCATGCAACTTATGATATATATATATTTATTACTTGGAAAAATTGTTCACCAATTAATATGAAAAAGGTTTTATCATTATTGAGATAACAATTAACAATTACAGGGAGATTAGACTTTGTGGAAGGGGTGCTCAACTCGATTCTGATGAGATAATTTTGAATTATGAATTTAAAAAAAATGAATTATGCTCTATGGGGTTTTCTTCATTGTGTTGGAAAGCAATTTGAAGGGAATATATCGATTAATTTTATGCCACACACAACTTTTATAGGCTATTTTCATGTTCATAATATATGCAAATATTTATACTTTTCAAAAAAATAAAAAATTAGACATTTATTTTTAAATTATTGGAAAAACTATGTGCTTGTATTTAATGCTAGGATTGTTGTGCACGGATCTTGCAATAATTTATGATGTTAAGCAAATTAATCAATGGACAGAGGCTTGGTTGAGGTGCATAAGATGATGGATATTTGGCTGTTCCTGCCAAGCATTTTCATGGCGAGAGAGACCATCTATACCAAAATGCCAGGCTGACAAGGTTGACAGAAATGAATACTGCACCTACTTTGGACACGTGGCAGTCCAGTTTGAGGTCCAGATGAATCTATGGCCGTACGCGCCCATATCAACCTTTGTATGCCCTCGTCTCGGCCGTTCAATTAGGCAGGGAGAGGGAAGCGGTGAGAGGGATCCCTCTATATTCGTCAACAACGGCGAGAAAAAGAGAGCTTGGGAGACGGCTGCAATAATAATTGTACGAAAACAAAAGCTTGCGTTTATATGGCACTAAAATGACACAACACATGCAAAAACCCTAGTTCACGCAAAAAATTGAGCCAATGAAAAATTAAAAAGGGTCTATAGTTTTTCTTTAAAAGTTTTTTGGGTTGAACCTTAGTTGTAAACTGATTTAAATATGTAACATATTTCTTTTTATTTATTTCTTTCTTTCCTTTTTAATCATGCCTTGATTCATCAATTAAGAAATGTTTTTTTTTTGTTGTTCTTTCTCGAAAAAATTCTGCTCTTTTTTATTTTCCAAATTGAACCCATTATGAGATGATGTAGTATGAGTAATGATAATTACAAGAAAGATAATACTAGTATGGGACAATTGGAAATTTGAATGTGTGGTTGTCACGTGCAAAATATTGAAGAACACAATATCGGAGCAAACATGCAACTTCGTCTTCTTCTTCAGGCAATTATGGTGAAACCGACAGTGTCAGCCAACCTGACCTGTACGTTCCAAGAGATTGATGTTGATTCAAAAACTAGGGCAAAAAATTTAACAACAAAAAGGAATTGGTGGCCATTTAATTTCAAATGCTCTCAGAAGCCAACAATATTCCAGGGTGGCAATGTTGTGGAGTTAGATATGATCCAACATTATTTAAATTTTTAATTTGTACTTAGCTATGTTTATTCCTTTGTTCTCGTTTGTCTTTCTCTTTGCTTCTTTTACACCTTTCCTTCTTCGTATGGTCTTTGAACAATGAAAGCAGCTTTCAAGCAGCTGGGACCTAACATGCATATTGGAAAACTTGTACATGGCAAAGAGGAATCCAAAGCTGATGAGGAGATCCCAAGATGCCAATTCTTAGTCAAATCGAGAATGTCTTAATTGGAGGTTAAACTAACTATAACATTTATTTGAATTGCTACTTCTTTCCATTTAAATTGATCATTTTTCTTGCAAGTTTCCAAAATAAATACTAGAACATGAAGACTAAAGTGAACTTCACATATTCTTCTTAATTAAGATGTATGATTTTTTTAAAAAAAGAAAAAAAGAAAAAAATTATGTTTCAAATTTTAAAAGAATAAATGTGTATAATAAAATTGCTTCACATAACGCTTTTCTTCATTTTTTTTTTTTTGTGATTCTTTTACCAGAGAAAGGGTTAACCTTTATCCTATAACTTTAATCAGTTTGGCCATCCAAAACATGATGATTGCTTGAACTGATTCACCCAACTAAGCTTAAAAGTTCACAGAAGAAAAATGATGGCATTAATCATTTGGGAGATTAGAATCTGCAATTACTTCGTATAGAAGTCAGTTTTTCAGAACGAAGGAATTAAATTAGAGATGTTCACGTGTTTATAGTGCAAATATGCCAAATGTTTATGCGATAAGAACTTGCTCAAGAAGAGGAAGAACAGTACAACAAGGCACGACGGTTTGCTGGTTTTGCTCTTTAATTAGCAGCCCAATGGGAAAATAATAAATCCGGGAGAAAAAAACATGGAACATGTGATTGAATTACCTGAAACTAATTAGTACCCATATTACCATGCTTTAATTTAATATTCAAATAGAATCTTGGTCATTACAAGGATCTAAAAAATTGTGGATGGATTGTGTTTGTTTCCTCATGCCGATATTTAAAATAAATAAATTGTAGAAGGGAATGCAATTAAATGCTTTTGGGGAACAATAATTAATAATTAATCAAAAAAAAAATTAGAATGCTCATTCCTCATTACTGTTGGTGGAATCCCCTTTTTTAATTAAAGTTTTCAAGGCAATGAAAAAAGCCAATCCATCGAGCATTACTTCTTTTAATAAATCACGATGAGAGAGGGTTTGCTTTAGAACAAAGTTTATGTTTTTATTCTATTGATGCCCTTTATGTTGAGCCTTGCAGAAATAATTGCTCTTGCCGATGGGTCTTGAAGTAGTATATCTGTGCTATGTAAAGACGTAAAATTGACTTTCTTCTTTGAACAAAATATATCGAGACGAATATTTAAGATTAATATCAACTATAATTTAAAATATTTTTTTTATCGAAATAAATGAACTTATGAATTATGAAAAAAATAATTGAAAAATAGAAAAAGTTATCTAGGATATTTCATATCCTTTTTAGTCAGGAGCCGGCAGCCCGACATGCCAATTAAAACAAAGGACACCAAGGACGGAAGGCTAGCTCATAAGTTATTTCCAAATGGTGTGACGATGAAGGCATGCACGCAAAACTTGCTTTGATGTATATATACACAGTAGTACATACGGCACAAACTCGTCGACCATTTCAAGAAGACTTGGAAAACAGGAGGCTGAAACCTGAAAGTGACAAAAGGACAGCATGGGAATTAATTAAGAAAGACAAGTTGATGATGGGAGCACTGACTTTTGCAAATGGCTAGCTAAGAGAAATTCAAGATGAGAGCAAAAGCGTGTGGAACTTATGGTATGATGAGCCCCTAAAGGGGATAGCCACTAATTTCTATCGTCCAACCTAACATTGATGATTTTTCATCCAACACCATTTAAAACTCATTTTACATCATAATTATAATATTTTTTTTCAAGATATTTGATGTCCTAAATTATTGGTGGTCCGACCCCTTTTTAAAGCTGTATTTCTCACTGTCATTTTCTTTTTTTATTGATTCAAAACTTGTTTTCTTAGTAAACTTCAATATGGTCATGACCTTCTTATCATAATCGAACAGCCTTCCTTCCCCGAGGGAGCTTTTTCCATGCCAATCCCTCCAAAGGCCAGGCTTTTGTCGCTTTATTGGCTTTATTATGTGCCACGTGGAAGAAGCTCCAAGCATGAGCTTGATCTATTGCTGGATCTATTTATTATATGTGTGCCCTTGGGCCCCAACTCTCTCTTCATTCTTATCTCTAGCAATAGCTGCATGATTAAACCCTCAAAACCTTATAATTGAGATTCTATTTATGGATTCCAAAAGTAATCACTAAAGGACTTTTAGTGGTTTGCTTCGAATTTCGAAAGAAATTTGTGGATGACTTATTGGTGGATTTGGATCCTCTTTCACACTATTCTTATTCCTTTTCCATCATAGTATTTATAGATATCTAATCTAAATTTCCATAAAGACAAGAAATGTACATTTCTTTTCTATAAGTTATTAGGAAACAAACATGTTTCAGGGATCAAAGATCAAACCAGTCAGTGGATTGAATAAAAAGAGACCCTAGCTAGCCTGTAATCCTCATATATAGACAGCTTTAGGGTTCAAATTACACTGCAATGTATATACAAACATGGTTATCTCCTATATATATATATATATATATATATATGTACGTAGGCTAATAAAACAAAGAAAAGGTCGTTGGAAAGTATGTTATAATGACTTTGATTTGTTTAACTTGTTATGATCTTTTGACTCATAAATCTGATCAGCTTCTCATAATTCTGAAAAAGCTTATCCAAAAGCTTTCTTGGGTCTTGGCAGATGGTAATCAAGGCTCCATTTGTAAAGCAGAGGCTTCCTATCCGAAGCTATAGTTCTTTACCATTTCATCTTTCACTTTTCTTTTTCTCAAATTGTCAAAACTTTGGGAGTGATTTCCCTCTTCAAAGTTAAATTATGTAGAGAGATACATCAAGAAAATGAACCAGAACAGGTATGAAAAAGTCGATATGGCTTTAATTTTTCAACAAGCAATTATACAGATTTCCCTTTTTGTTTTATTGGGACATACACATAGAGAGAAAATTTGAAGCACAACTCTGGGTCAAGCAATAGCAATAATATCTTGGCCATCCACATTACGTTAAAATTAATTTCACAATGAATAAGTGATTGAGACTGGGCAATCTCCAGCCAACAATCACTAACAACTCGCATCAAATGAAAAATGGGGGTTGAAAAGTGCAACTCTTTAATTTTCCTTCAGCTTAAAACACACATTGCTGTTGGGTTACTATCATCACCAGCAGCTATTTATTTAGAGAAACTTATTGAATTATGTAGACAAAAACTTATTGCATATTGTCAATATGGGATGAACATGACATTCAACTTGTCCTTTAGGAGTCTTATGAATGATAAATTAATCAGGGCTAATCATACTATTAACAATGTGTCAAATCAGTCATATACTATTGTTATTTCAAGTAATATACAACATAAAATCTTCAGATAATATCGTACATATATAAATACATACTTACACACATTATATATACATATTTATTTATCATATTTTTAAATGATTATTCTAATTATTTTTATTGCTAATATTAAGAATTTCTCATGCATAGAATGACTTTCATTAAAAACATATTTTATTATAAATATTAATAAAATGTATCTAATTCATTAATAAAAATACTTTATTGAATGAGTTTCATAAATTTTTTTAGTTTTAAAAATATTGAATAATTTATAAATCAATATTATAAAATTTCAATTATAAATATAATTGAAATATTAATTGTCTTCAATTTATAAATAATTAATTATAACAATTTTATTTTATATATATTTAATATTATTTAAAAATAAATAAATAATAAAATTTAAGTGCTACTACTTACATGAAAATAAATACTAATATATATGAAATATCTCAAGTATATTTATCCAAAAAAAAAATTCAAATATATTTCAATTACGATAACGTTAAAAACTTATAACTTTTACGTATTATCTTTTTATTTTCTATCTATCTATTAATACAATGCGTGATAGCTAATTTTTATTGATGAATCCATGGTGAACATTTTGAAATTTTTTTGGGTGTTTTTATTTCGTTGAAATCTGTGACACATAAGTTTGAACCTTAATAGTTAATATTAACAGCATTAGCTAATTGAATAATTGTGTATGATATACTGTTGTTAAATTTTGAAATTTAATTATTTGAAGAGAAAACAGAAAAAAATATTTGAGATTTCACTTTAAAAAAAATGTAACACAAAAATAATTCAAATATTAATAGAAATATTTAGATAATTACCTGTGAAATTCCTTCAAAACGAAAATCTTCAAATTATATTCTCATTTGAGTGAAATTTAGATTTGACAATTTTGTATACGATACGATAATATAACACAAATACAATATGGATTTAAAAGAGTTTGAGTTTAGATTAATTGTGTTTTGTGTTTTAATTATGGTTAAGATATGAATAAATTGTGTCGAACTCGCTTAATCCATTTAAGGCATGATTAGTTAATCGTATTAACATGAATCTATACAATCTATGATTCATTTATTACTTATTTATTTAACTGTATTCACGTATTGTGTAGACACATTTAATATACGATTAAGATTAATTTATTGATTTATCTTAATACTAATATTTTTATGATGATTAAGATTTATTGATATTAAATATTATTATATTTATAATTTTTATTTTAAATTTAAATAATATAATCATATTTTACTTGTACATATTTCAATTTAACTTTTTTAATTATATTAATCATATCAATCGTGTAAATAGTTTATACATCGTATAAATTTTAATTGTGTTAATTGCATCATGCCATATAAAATTTAATTCGATACGTATAATATACATGTTAACTATATTATGTCATGTTACACGTTTATTAAATATATTCATATACGTATTTAATATCTTGATATTATTAACTTATTATGTCGTGTTCATGTTTATCCGTATAACTATTAATATTGTATTTACATAATAAGGCTAAAACACCAATACATGAATTATCAAGTCTAGTGAAATCAATATACATATATTTTATTTTTTTTCTTAATCATTGAAATAAAAATATCTAAAAATTTCGTAGAAGGACGTGGCACCAGTGATTGGCCAAACATCCCGCCCTTTATTCTGCGTCACTTGCTGAGCAAGCTAACATTCTAGGAGCACCGACGGCAACAGTCTGTAAGGTTCCTAAATCACCCTTTTAGCATCAACAATTTGCATGGACTCATGACTCATCCGCTTCTAAGTCGCAACGATCGGGCGGTCGGAGGAGGGGTATTTTAGACATTATGACAAAGAAATAACCGCTGCTGGCTGTTTTCCCCAAACATGAAAAGGAAAAAGAAAAAGAAAAGACAATCAGGAGCTCGCTTCATCGAAGAAAAGAAAATTACTTGGAAAGGTAATTCATTTCTCCTCTCGCGTTTTCCCTTTCTTTTGGAAAAAGATAGTTACTTATTTTTCGAGTACATTCGTGATTCCCTTGTATGCTTATTTCGTTTAGTCTTATGATTGGAGTAATTGCAGTCTTTGAAATTAGGAACTCTTCAAAGTCGTGTTTGGGCAGCTGAGAAAATGTTGAACGGTGACTTTTAATTGTTGAAATATTACTATAAATGGGACCTAGAAAGCGAAAACCCCCTTCATTATTGAATCCTTGATGTGATTCAGCCTTTTAGTTGAGCTTAAATTTCGTTATAAAAACAAAATTTTAATATTCTTTATGTTGTCGTTAATTAAAACTGCAATCAATAGTCAGTCTATGGGAAAGAAAAGAACAAAAAAAAACTGAGTTTGTTGGATTTTTCCTTGCATGGATATTGCTCTGAGCTAATATTTGTGACACGGAATAATATTCTGGCTTTAATTCTATATTCTTCAAAAAGATTGCGCTTTATCTTTGCAAAACAATTTTCTGTGGATACATAAATCTGTCTGTAATTGCCTTTATCTGTTATATAGATGAGATTGGAATACCAATACTCATATTTTTGGAAGTTAAAAAGTACTGATTCGAATACCAATCTGTATTTGCCAATTTGTACTGATTTATTTCATATAATTGATTTGGAATTGAGGAATGGTTGCTGATTTGTGCAGAACGATTATCTATATAGCCTTTGATTTCATTTGTTTGCAAGTTTCTGTATCTTTGTCATATACCAATCTGTAGTTGGGATGTCTTTGCTAATTTTGCTTGTGATTTTTCCAATAGTGTGCGGATTGTGATGTATTTCCAGTCCACTGGTCGAAATCAGAGACCCAGAGGGTCTCATGTCAATCAGGGCTTTCAGCTTATGTTGATTTCAGCCATTTGTATCTGGTTGCTGTACCAAATGAAGAATTCAAACTCCACAAAGGATGATAGGAGTTTATTAGCCAAGTTCAGTAAAGGAAACAGTGTTTTGAATTTGGGACGCAAAGGGGATGTGGAGTTGAGTTATAAAACTATGTATATGTCTGACCCAAAAGATGTAATTCTTGAAGCAGGAGGAAAGCAGAAAGATAGAGGTGGTGAAGATGATGAGTTGGATGGAATTGTTAATGAGAAGGGGGAAAATGAATCTCCAGACAAGCGAATTGAATACATTCATGGGCATGACAAGACTGATGCAGAGGAGGGGAAGAAAATGGAGCCAGACAAAGACAATATAATCTGTCAGCTAATAGTGAAAATATTGAAATCGAAATGAGAGATGAGGATAACAAAGTTTTCAGTGATGATAATTCACAAGAAGGACTAGAAAGTTTAAAGAGACTCGTGTCCAACCTTGATGGGGGAAGGAATGAGAAGGACCAGAAAAGGCCAAGTAGTTCTGATGAAAGAGGACATAAGAGTGGTGCTAATAATCTTGTCGAGCAAGGAGATGAGAAGGACTTGGAAAGACACACTAAAGAACTACAAAGAGATGAGGAGATAAGTATTGATGCTCTTAAGCAAGGCAAAGATGAAGAAACAGGTTCAAGAAGAGAGAATGGTGAAGATAAAGACCTCATAAGTAAGGACATAAACAAGCAGGTGAATAGTACAGAGAATGTAACTATTTTTGGCCAGAATGAAGTAGGAAACGGATTACATGGCTTTCATGATGAGAATGGTGTTCCTCAAGGAGACAATGATCTTGTAGAGTTCACATTGGCTAAGTCAAGAGATAGTCAAGCAAACAATATTTTACATCAAGAAACCATCTCAAGTTTGAACCATCGAAACAAGATCACTGAAAGACCTCATATTAAAGAAGTTGCATCTAAATCAGATAGAAATGCTACTGATGCTGAGACAAAAACTCAGAGCCAAAAAGAAGGCTCAAAAAGTGGTGCAATGTTAGATGTGGGAATCAATTCTGACGCCAATTTTTGAAATTCAGAAATAGCACAAGCAAGATGGTCTAGTTAGAAGAACATAGAAGAATTAGATAAGCTTGGGATAAGAAGAGTATAATATGTGATATTATCACTTCATTTTCTTTGAGGCCGCATAGTTTGAGACCCTCGATGTAATGTAAGGCTTTTATACTTTGACCTTCCGGACTGACAGTATCATGTATAGTTACAGCTGTAGGTGTCACCTGGTGAAATCATGGTGCATGTATGTTGCATTCAATCACCTTTTGCCCCCAAACACTACTTCACGAATAATTTCAGTTTCAACTACAGCTTATGCAGCAAGAACTTTCATCCTTCTATATATAAGATCACCGGTGCAATGCTTCCATCTTCGCTGCTATTAAAAACTAGACTGATGGAATACTCTACCTTAATTATGGAACCCATCGTTTATTGTTTTCAAAACTTACATCATCCTTGCCGGAGGACCTGGACAATTGTTGTTGTTGTTGTTGTGGACCTGCTTGAGGTGCAGAGGTACATCGTGGTAATTGTGTGGCTTGTGTCATAATGGGATTCCGGTAGTTGAGGTATACTGCTGCTCAGTTGCTTGTATTACAATGACTGCAAGACACAACTGGAATTCAGAGTCTACCGCTGATGGACTATGACTACAGCTGTTATCTGAACAGCTAAGAGCAATGCCGCCTTCACCACTATCGGGCTGCTAATCAGTTACGGTGAATTAGGACTGCTAGAACTTCTAACAAGTGGAAGAAAGCTTTTCAGTTGTGAACAGAGGCTGCAATATTGGAAGGGAAGTGAAGGAAACATGGAGTAACCATCAATTAATAAAATATGAACGGGCCAGGGTGTTTGGATCTGGTTGAAGCTAAAAGCTTGATCCTTGTCGTGTTGATTGCCAATGAAATGACAGACCTTTTCAGCTGGAATATTTACGCATCAGTATTTTGACTTGTCTCTGATTGCTTCAATTTTATGCCGAAGCTCGTTATTGCGTTTATTTTAGGTTTTGGCCGACAACGTCCCAAAAAACCCTGATTCTATCAGGTCGCTGAATACTGATATTTTTCCGACTTATATGACTTTGGGATTGCTTCATTGAGGCTGCTTTGGCACCATTGAAGGTATGAACATTGCTTTCCTAATGCTAAATATGGTCAGTTTGTACCAAGTTTGTTGGAACACAATTTATGAGCTAGAAGCTTTTGGGCCTGGTGACACCGGTCCCGCCGAAGTGATAGTGGTTGGGTGGTCTCAATCTTGGATCGAAATGTATTTGTCGATATCTTACTCAGTAGTATTCATTAGGATTTTGCCTTGCAGTAGTTGATTAGGTAAAGTTTTTGGATCCCTTTTGGTCTCATGGCTCGTAAAAATTTCCTGGCAAAGAAAAGAACCATTTTTCCATTCCACCATAATTAGTACAATGATGTTGGGCCCCTGCGTTTCTTTTCTATGTGCACTAGTGATATTTCCCGCCCCTACCATTTTTCATAACGAGTGTGGCAGATTACTTCTTTGACTTTAGAGTCCCTCAAGAAATGCATGCATACACATGCAAACAAAAATTTCATATTCAATGCAAAGCTCGCGAGGTGATTAGGTCACCGACAAGTTTTGTGAACCACTAACCTTGCCGCATTTTAGGATCCATGTGAATCTTAATTCTGAAAACATGGGAAGATTTCAAATTAGAATCGTTGTATTTTCTAATATAATTCACGTTTTAGAAATGTTTAAAAAAGTATCTTTTCATTGAATTAAAACGATCTCAAATTAACACTCAAGTATCTGATTTATTAGTTGATGTGTAATTTTTTTATTTAAAGAGTAAAGTTTTGATCCCTTTCTCTAATTATAAAAAAAAAAATCTCAAATTAGGTTGATATCTTTTTCAGTTCATTCATATGAAAGGGTTTCAATGAAAATTATGACTAACTAGTAGGAAGGGTTTAACTTCATCCTTCCCGTGTTGATTGCCAATCACATTTGACTTTATTAAGACAACACCATTGCTTGTACTGGCCTCTCTGACTCCTTTCAACCACAATTCATCGTATCACTGAAAACCTCATGGTTTTTAAAATATTCTAATTCTATCAAGTTGGTTATTTGTAATATATCTCTTCATTCACTAGGGCTGTGTTTGAAGTCAACAAGGTCTTGGGGAATTTACCACTTGCTATATGAGCTAACAAGATAAAAGTGATGAATGAGAAGGATGAAAGGTTCCAACTCAAACTAGCTAGACATTTCTCCAAATATTCATTCTTTTTGGAAAGAAAACTCCTTCCTACTAGTTAGTCATGATTTCCATTATAAACTAGGAAAGATACTTTTTTGATCTCTTCTAAGGCATGAATTATATCAAAAAGCAGTTTACTAGTATACATAATTTTTTTGATTACATTTTATTTATAGTACATTTAAAAATTTATATAGTGAAATTATATCTATAAAAATGTTTTCAAAAACATAAAGAAAGTGTTATTAAAAATTTTTTAGTACTACATTTTAAAAATGTATTGTTTTAAATCAAATTTATTATATTGTGCACATATAAAATCAAAGTTAAGTCGCTGTTGTTTTTTGTCAAATATGAATTTTTTTAATCAAAATAATAGTATGCATCGACCACACAAATATGATCAATCAAATGTGTCATTATTAATGTAATTTAGAAAAAATTTATATAAGATGAATTGAAACAAGTATAAAATTTGACTCAAAATTTATATCTTGACATTAATTGGAGAATGAAATATTAATTTTTAACCAGGTTAAATAAAGATATGATCAATTGTAGTATAAATTAATTATAAGTAGTAATTTTTTTTTCAATATTGTTCTGTCGAAGCCATCTAGATAAGAGGGTCGACAACTTCAACTCATCAAGGCCTAATGATTAAATTGCTAATGTTGGTGAGGCTAGCTGTTCCTAATAAGCATTAATTTCGACAATTAAATCATATTATTGGTGTTGATTTAAATTAATAATATAGATTTATCATCATATTTATTAGCATTTAGGAGATTGTATACCTTTGGAAATATTATTATACTCCATATAATCTATATGTGCATCATCAGTCTCAATTTAGTTGAGTCTTTTATATAGGTAAGCATGGAGTTTATCTTCTTGGTGACTATATATCTATCCTTAATGTGTTAGCTTATAATTACATATGAGTTTCTCTGTTAACCTTGTTGTTCTTTTTCTACTTATTTGTTTGCTTTGCATAAATTAGAAGTGGCAGTAATAGTTAAAAAATGTAGCACCAATTCAGATATGATATCGTGACTCAACCGTATATGTTTCTTTTTAGCACTATCATGGATTAAATTATCTTATATTAATGAATGGATTTCACTTATAATGCTGACCTCAACTCTCTAATATTTTGTCCCTCCAGTGCTAAAAAGTAAAGGACAATCCTTGCTTCAACAGCCTCCACAAAAATTCTTGGACGAGTTGTCACGTGAAAAAATCCTCGGCCACTTAACCTTTAGGCCCTTGAATCGTTGATAACTAATTTTCTCTATATAAACACCAGCTGCTAAACACAAGGAAAGCCATCCTAATATTTTACTTGATCGTTTTGATATTTGCTAGTTTTTGTTTCAATGGCTAATGATCAGCACCAACCAAAATGGGAAGGGAAGGCGTTTGCAGAGCTAGCAGGCCCCAAAGCAGAACAAGTCTGGCCTCTCTTGCAAGATTTTTTCGGCTTAGACAAGTGGTTCCCAACTCTGACCACTTGCCTCCCTGTGGAAGGCGTGTCTGGGCAACCTGGGTGTGTTCGTTTTTGTGCCGGCTTCAAAACTCCTGTTAATGGCAGTGACGAAGGGACTGTGAATTGGACTAAGCAGAAACTGCTGTCCATTGATCCAAGTGAAATGGATTTTAGCTATTCCATTGTGGATGGCAATGTTGGTTTCAACGGTTACGTATCGACAGTGAAAGTGTTGCCAAAGGAACCAGGGTGTGACATTGAGTGGAAGTACGAAGTGGAGCCCGTAAAAGGCTGGACACTGAAGGATTTGGATTTCTTCATCGCTTCTGGTTTGCAAGTCATGGCTCGGAGAATGGAAGCCGCTCTCCGAGTTTTCCAAGCTTCAATGGCCCAGTAAATTTCGTAGTAGCTTGAAGTTTCCTGTGTGTTAATGGAACTCATCATTAGCAAAAGCTCAATAAAGTCAGTCAGTCTCCTTCATCATTAGATAAAAAATGGTGGGGTTTCGATTTCAATTTTATGCTTTCGTGCTACAAGCCCGGAATTGTATCCCGTTTCTACCTCATCCATGCTTTCAGATTACACCGACTGCTTTCAGTTGTCTTCTAAAAAGATACAAAGAACTATATATTTTCATAAAAGATAAAACTTTATTATTATTATCAAAAAATCAAATCATAAATTATTGAGAGTGAAGGACACTGTTTAAAAAAAGTCTAATTATCTAATTTTACTATCAATCAAATAAATTATTATCTTAATGGTGAATTTTTTTAAGAGATTAATACTGTTTTTTTTTTTAATTTTATTACCTAAGACAGAAAAGACTTTGAAGAAATTTTCTCTTCATATTTGATGGGAGGTTGAAAAAATTTCTTTTTCTATTTACTTTTATTTCATTAATTAAGACATGCAATAAGATGGATGAAAACGACTATGACAGGGACGAATGGGGTTATAGATTGAAACAAGAGTTAATTAATTAAAACATGTGATAAGTGTTGATGAATGAGATAGAATACGAATGCAACTATAAAATAGAAAATTACCATTCAAGATTTTACCAGTATAAAATTAATTCAATTTTACCTAGTGTTGAAATACGCATACTTATATTATATGGAATGAAGTGTATATATATAAATGATATTTTTAATAAAAGTAATTTGATGTAATTAAATTTTTTTATATATTTTAGAAGCTATATAAATTTTACTAATAGTAATAATAAAAATTTTAAAATGACCATTTATAAAATATAATTGATAAACATGATATTTTTGTTAATTAAACAATATCTCAACATCCAAATCATTATACATAATTTTTTTGAATAATTCAAACAAGAAACTTCATTCATCAAAAAAACGTTGATACAATGGGACATACTCTTACTAAACATAAACAGATTCTCTATGACCCGTGACAATTCCATGTCATACGGAAAGACTCTCGTTAAAAAACCCTAATGGGATAAAATCCGTAAACAGGAAAAAGAGTGCTGCCCTTTCATATATGTCTACGACATTGATGAAACTATTAGCTACAGCTCACCTAACTCTTGCAAAACAGTATTTGCAATATTGTGTGGCATATCTGCAACACTTGTCCAAAAGATTTCACCACTGGGCAATGTCTTCGCATGCTGAGACAAAAACTGTTCATAGTGCTGTGACAAGTAGGAAGAGCCACAATCTACGAATTTGAATCTGAATACACTGGCTCCAGTCTGATGACAATGCAGAATATGCGTGATGGACTAGAATTAAGAACAAGTTATGAGCCAACATTAAATTTCATGTTGCCTCAATGTAATGGTAAAACAAATTACAATTATAAACAAAGTGAAAAACTAATGGTACATTTTCGGCTTTGATAACACAAACTATGCATACAAGTGTGGCAGCTTTGAGTAATCTTTTGTTAATCAAGTTCTCTGTCAGTCTGTGAATCACCCACAAAACTACAGGATCTGGCCAACAGGTCAGACTGCACTAATAAATTGGCCTTTGAAGATTGTTACCGTTTTATTCAGCGTCATCAATCGAAAGCACAAGCAGGGCCAATATCTCTCTGAGCAAACACATTCCGAGCCAGAAAATTTACAGGAGATTCTCTTCCTCTTTTACTTCTTGAATCTCAGTGGATTCACAGGTTATCTTCTAATTCGTCTGGCACATGCAACTTCTCAATGGCAGCCTGTTTTAAAATTCAAAAGAAAGCATGAGTGTAAAGAACAATGATTCATTTCTTCTTCTTCTTTTTTTTTTTTTGAAAAGCATTGAATATCATTATATAAAGATAATTACAAAAGGAGCAGTTGGGAATCAAAAGATTCATTTCTTCTTAGGAAGAAGCAATAATAAAAATTACACTTCCAGGTACTAAGCAATGCCTAACTAAAGAGAAAGCAAGCCAGGTGGTATAGGAAAAAAATTTGACAACTACATGCAGCTAAATTTTTAACATGATGTGAGTGTCCAAGTCCAAATTAACGTATTCCTAATAGATCTGAAGTTACCACCATGGTGCCTACGGTTCTGTGTGTTGCAAGTTTACAGCATAAAAGATTCAGACCATCACTACAGTCCTTAATTTGTAAAAATAGGTCCATATATCTTCTCAGCAAAACAATCATGGATTTCTAACATTTGAAGCAGGAAACAAACCAAAGTGATAATCTTTAAGAAAAATAAAGAAAGAAAAAGAAAAGATCAAATATAAGCCAATACCTTAATTGTAGCGACATCGGCTGCCGATGGTTTTAAATCCAAAGCAATACCAAAATGAAGCATGGCCTTTTCATGCATGTTACGCCGCTTATAGATTTTTCCCATCAAAGCATACACACTGCTTTCACGAGGGGCATACTCTTTAAGTGCCTCTAGAACTTTTAGAGCATCATCAAATTTCTCCAAGCTCATTAGTATATTAGCCTTTTGATACATGGGAAGAGGGTTTTTTCTGTCTGCTAAAATCGCCCTGTCCATTATCTTGATAGCGTCCTCACTTCTCTGTAAAATGATAACAAAATTTCAAAAGAACTCCTCAAGTTGATATTGTTCAAGTCATAATATTATAAACAATACAGAGAGTAGCCCAACCTTTAGGGCATGCATAGCAGTTCCAAGATAAGACATTATAACAGAAGAACGTGGATTTATTTGAAAAGCCATTCCGAAGTGATGCTCTGAAAACTCAAACTTCTCTTGACGAAGAAAGATCATTCCTAGCCCATACCAGGAATTATAATGCCTTGAATCAATCCTAAGGGCATTCTGGTAGCTCTTGATTCCATTCTCAAAATCTTCTAAAGCTACATACCTGCAGGTCAGAGTGTAGCAACAGAACTTTAATACACAATTGAAGTTTATAAAAATGAAGTTCCTATTAACATGTTCAAAAAAATGGAGGGAAAAGGTCCATAGAACCATACTCATGACCACAAAGGGTGTGGGCATATGCAAATCTCAAATTCAGTTGCACAGCTCGTTGAAAATTTTTCAGAGCAGTTTCATGGTCTTTCTGCAAGCTGTAGCAGTTTCCCATGGCACACCTGCAAGTTAATTCAAATATAAACAATAGAACAATAATGATTAAGAAATCTTAAAATGGCTGCCATCTAAACCCTCAAAACTGCCAAAAGTACACACCTACTATTAAACAAGGCAGGCAGGTAGAAATTAATCTTAGGCCAATAAAAGCTTTGAGAAACTCAGGATAGTGAAATTAGTAAGGTTTATAAACTATTCAAGAAAGGAAAGAAGTTCCGCATTCAACTACTTAAACAAAAAATCTGGTAAAGTACCATGATTGAGGAGCTAAGCGGTCAGTCGATATCAGTTCCTGGGCTAAGTAACTCAACTTCATATCTTCCTTTAAATGCTGCAAGAAACATAAAGACAACTTTGAGCAAAGAAATTTACCAAAAAAGTAGAGGGAAAAATCAGTACATGTTGGAATGTAACAAGTTCACTTGCTCTAAATTTTCACAACTGTAAACCAGGCAGATGGCATCCTGATTACAATAGATTAGTAGAGCAAGAATACTTCAAGCAATGTAACATAAGTTTTGAAGGATCCAGGGAACTCACATATAGAACAGTGGAGTAAATATCCATTCCTTCTAAGCTGTAAGGTGACATTCGACGTGCAAGACTAAATGTCCGGTCGGCTTCTAAGTAATCTACCAATTCAAAATGTGCTTTTCCAACCTGCACCATAAACTTTCAGAAACATATCATATGGTCCATGGAATGCGGAGTTAGTACCAAGTTCTCTCTCACTCTCTCTCACATACATTCACCTTAGTCCTTACCTTGGTTAGCCAACCAAATTTAGTAAAACAAGTTTTAAATCAACCTACATACAGTGCGTAAAACTATAAATGCTGAAATAGGGAATGCATGCCTCTTTCTATGAACTCATTAAAAAATATATTTATATAAGTCAAGACTGCTTGATCAACCTGGCATGAGACAATCTAACATCAAGAGAGGAAGAAAACAGAGAAAGTTGCACCAGAAGTATTACCTGGGACAGCACCCAGCTTGTATTATAATGTTTATGCGGAAGTTTCAGATAGGTATCCAATGCATCCTGTCGACAGAAGCATTATCAAGAGAATTGAACCTTGCCCAGGAGATATGAATTCAACTTCTGTTTCTTCAAGGTAACCATAAAACTACCTGACACCTATACAGGCAAGAAAGTCTATAGCCTTCCCCAAGGGTTCTCAAAAGGCCTAGTACTTCTGAAGCACCACTTATGATTTTCGAGCTGCTGATAACAACCCCACCAATCGGAACAGTTGCCCTGTCTTGGTCAAGCGATTTAACATCACCAGAAGGGAATGAACTAGAAGTCGTTGTCATATTTGCACGAGAATCATCAAATGCCTCATTCCTAATCCCTATATAAGATCAGAACTCAAGTTTCTAAGCATCAGATTAACAGTGACTGTGCAGCTATAAACAGGTAAGTAACTAGGAGTTACTAAGAAGAAGGATTTGCACTTCCATTTATCAGAAGGGAAATAAGCATTTCAACTCATTTCAATCCAGTAACTGTAACAATTAGGTTCAAAAATGAACTCATTAAAACAAACTTTAAAGTTACTACTGTGCCCATAAATCATAAATCAATAATTAACGATATCAAATTGCAATGTTCTTGAAAGGAATTATCAAACAAAAGAAAGTAGCATAGCTCACAGAAATGGAGATGAAGAAGAAGATTTATAACCTTCTTCAATATTTTCATTCGCCCAAGATTGTCCCTTACGAACTGTCACAGAACGCAGTGCCACAGAACTCAACTTAGAACTTCCAAGGTATTTAGAAGAGCTATTAGTCCCATTTCCAGCTACTGCTGTGGTATTTGCATTTGTATTGGCCCCAGCATCTCCAGCAAGTCTTGTACTTCGACGGGGACCAGAATCAGAAAATAGCCTCCCAGAAATCTGACCACAAAGGATTAACAAACTACTTCAGGTCGGGGGAAAAGAAGCTTTATACTGTACAACACGCAAGCACAAGGATAACACAAATGTACTGGCTCCCGTAGCTGAACATTGATGTATCAAACTATCAATAGTACATTAAAGAGAAAACTAACGACTGGTTGAATAGCTCCATGTATCAATATAAGAAAAGACAATGCCATTCCTACTCAAAAACTTCTCTCAAGAGACCACCATGTGACACAGCCAACTAGCATGATACTGCTAATTTACATAAACAACAGACTACATGTATAGTAAATGTACCTCTATGACTGAAAAATAAATGATTCCTCTTTCTGGAAGATTCATAAGATTCTTTTGGTATGAAAGCAATGCTATACAAACTTACGATTTCACCAAAGCTCTAAACTCCAAGAAGGCTTTAAAAAGAAAAAGCAAAAGGTTACCTTTCGTAATTTTCCTTCATCAACAAACTTTCTTCGAGGTGCTTGAATGGTAGAGTTCACAACTGACCTTGGAGAACCATCAGTATTAACTGTGTTAAGATTAGGACCATTTGGTTGCACATTTCTACACAAAGGTGGTGGAGCAACTCCTGACAACTACAAGATACAGAGGAATTCAGACTTGTTGCCCTTATTTAGACAGAAAAAGAAAAATTAAACAAAAAACAGACTCAATAAACTCGATGCATCCACCCTAAACTAAGTAACTAATTAATCAAAACATAGAACTCTAGATACAGTTGTAATTTAGTATTTGCATTTCACGTCATCATACCTGTGAGGCCATTGGTGAAGGAGTATTATAAAATGGCATATTTGAAGGACCACCATTTTGAGGCTGAGAAGCAGCTCCACTCAGCCCTGCTGCTCCATGATAATTACCAGGGATATCTCTAAGGTTATTGCCTTGTGTGTGTTTCAATTGCCTTGGACTGACATCTTCTGAGCCAAAGTTCCGAGAAGAAACCAAATTATAATCCTCATTGGACGTATGCAAGTTTGGGGAAGTTACCCCATGATGTGAGTACTGCTTTTGAATGCAAAGAGCAGCTGCTTCACCAAAAACTACAGTTGCTTCTTCGGCAGCACCTAATATGTCCGGACACAAAAAGAAAATAACTTAATTATGAATGTAACATATGAGAACAAGCACTCTATGGTACTGAGAACAGAATCACGTCAAAAGATAATAGACATACTGAGTGAATACATGTGAGATCAAGTCAATTAAAAACAATTTGCTAAGCCATTTAAATGATACTATTTATAACATCAACTGCAGTAGCAGACAAACTAAACCTATGAAGTAAATTTGTTTACCCATATTAACTCAAAAATTAGCGAGATCAAGGTCAACATATCTGGTCCACCTAGCATGGTAGCATAGCAGTAGAAACATAGAACCATGAGAGTATTCTTTAGACAGACCTAATACACACAACTCCTCGTATGCAGCCCAAAGCAAAGGATCTATAGACAAAGCCAGCCTAAAATGATGAATGGCACTTTTCGTTCTATCTGTGTACCTGAAAAGAGAAGACATCCAATAAAGCAAAATAGAAGATTAAAACTCTTTGAAATTTGAAAAATAGTCCCCCCATCCCAGTTGTTAAACAAAGGAAAAGTCAAAGCATATAGGACTAGATTCCTTCATTATAAAGGATCATATTAAGATTGCCTATCTCTATCCAGCCAGTAATGAGATTAAGCAACATTATATAAAAACAAAAAAGAAAGGGTAGCATTCAACATAAAATCATAACCATTCCTCGCATCTTATTACGCCATATTTGGAGAAAATTTCTAGGTATATCAAAGCAAATTTCCAAAAACAATTGAATGTTGCTTCTCCCTAAATTCTGGTATTATTTCCTGGAGTTAATAAAAAAAGATAACTTGGCCCAACCTGTAAATAAGGCCAAGAAGATAATGACCGGCTGCACCATTTGGAATCTGCACAAAATGAAACAGGAATTAACAAGATATTGCCATCACAAGAATCATGTGAAAGACACGGACAACCGGAGGTCAACATCCAACAGGCCATAATAGAAATTTGAAGTATAGGATTACAGAAGTTTATATCAGACCATGTGTCAAATCCCCTATCATATAAATCCAACCAGCGTTATTGAAGCATTTTCCCCCCAAAAGAAGTGAGCTTTTAAGGTATAACTGCATGAACTACAGCTTAAAAGAATCATTCCTGAATATGTCTAAAGAAAATATCATCTAGTACCTCTCCGCCAGGCTCATTAGCAGGACATAAAGCGGTTTCAGCTTCATTAAGTAGATCCATGTGAAAGCATGATACCGCAAACAAGTAGCGGGATTGAGCCGTTTGTGTTCCTTCAAATAATTAAAAACCTTATTAATGAGTTGATCATAACAATGACGAAAAGGACTATAATTAAATATACCAAAACAAACTTCAAACACTCAAAACAAGGTATGCATTACCCTTTAGAATATGATAGGCAGAGTAAGCTTGATTGTTCTGCAAGTAGCAAGCAGCTAACAACTGCAAATTCACCTACATTTAACCCAGAAGGTCATATTTCAGTTCACTATATACAGTAAAAGAACCCCATTCTGTAAATTACAAGATTATCGAATTTATGGCCTTTAATTTATTTAATTTATCAAGTTCCACTTCCAAAACCTATATTCTCTTTTTTTAAAAAATAAAAAAAGAGACATTTAAAACCAACTTAAATGCAACGCATTTTTGCAAAGTTTCTAAATTTAAATTGAAATTGAAGAAAAAACCCAAATCAGAAATGCTGTTAACTAAACACTGAAACCAATAAAATTCTTGGAAAAAGATTAAAAAACCAATTCATCGGTAACGAATGATTGAAGCAACGCGCACAGTCGATCTTGAAAATCCAACGAACAGTTTTTTACCTTTATGCTGAGAAACAATATTTAGAAACCCGGGAAGAGTTAAAATTATTAAAGACTTGAAAAGATTAAAAGTTTCTTCTTCTTTTTTTTCACCAACCGAAAAAAAAATTTTAAAAAGGAAAAAGAAAAATTCAAAAAAAAGATTTTCTTTTTTTGGCTGAGTGAGTGAGTGAGTGAGTGAGGGGGTAGAAATCGAGTTACCTCGGAAGGGAACTCAGCGCAGAGGCGTTCACAAAGGAAAATGGCGTTTCTGAACATGAAATGGCGGAGACTGTTTTGAACACAGTCTGTGAGTATCGCTTCCATGGTTTTCCTATTTTGGCTAGATTGAGAGAGAAACCAAAGGAGAGAGAAAGAGAGGGGTTTTCTGGTTTTTTTGGGGGTTTCTTTAGGTTTCAAAATGAGGTGGCACGTGTTTTCTCCTCTTTCAAATTCTGCTCCCACGTGACACTGTTTTGGGTCATTATCAGCTGCTACACGGAAACCAAATTTCCTTTTGTTATATTTCCAAATCAAATGATTTGCATTTCCTACTTAATTTAGAATCTGATATCAAGAAATCAAATTCTAAGATTTAATCTCCTCCTTCTTTAATTACCGAGTACATTAAGAAAAATTACCAATAATTTGTCGAGTAATGTTATTAAGAAATCATTACCTAATCATTTATATTTGGATCATTAATTAATGTCATTAAATACTACTAATGAGTTACTACCTGTTTCTGTCTTTTTCATTTCATCATCCTATAAATACGCCCACTTCAAGCTAACCCCTGCAGCCGCCACGTGATTGATTTATGTCAAATTTCAAATGTTATGCATATTTAAGTAATGTAAACTATTAGGTGTTGTTAGATAAATTAAAAAAAAAATTAAGTACTGAATTTTTAATTTTCAATAATCTAAATACTAAATTTATTATATTAAAATTATTCGGTGTTAGTGAAAATTAAATGTTAAGTAGATTTCTTAATAAATTTTTTGTAAATGAAAACTATGATTTTTTGATTACTTTGTATTGATAATAATTAAAACGAAAAAAAAAAGTAGAAAAAGAAAGAATATAAAATTAATGCAATTAAAAACTATTTTTTTAAATAAAATTGACTTAATACATTAAATAATTTTTATCTACTTAAGATTTTCAACACTAATTCAGTAAAAACCTTCCATTAAGTGATTTTTTTAAAAAAAGTTTCAAACATATTGAAAAAATTAAATATGGAAATATTATGGTTCATCAAATATACCTTTCATCTCTGACTCTAATCAATGGAGGAAAGAAAAAATAATTAAGCAAAGTTCTTTTACTATACGAAAATTCATTGAAAAATCATCAAGCAGAGTTCTCCCTTCTCTATATACAAATTCAATGGAAAGATGAAATACCATGAATGTCAGCCCCTAAACTTCATAGTAGAAGGAACTATCAAAAAAGAACTTTAACAAGACAAAGACCAACATAATGTATTAGAAAAATTTAGAAGTAATTTAAAGAATTAATGGTTATCATGATTATTGGCCACTAGTACAAATCAAACTCAATCTGAACTAGTTGCCAAGCTGTAACCAGGAGTCTTGGCAAGTTTCCTCTGCTTCATGATCCCTCTAACCTTCTCAACCTCTTCCCACAGACCATTGCTAGCATAAATATTAGACAGTACAACATAAACCCCATCATTCCAAGGTTCCAATTCTTGCAAATGTTTAGCCACCCACTCTCCCATCTCAACATTCCCAAATTTCTCACAGGCACCCATCAAACACCCCCATATCACCACATTTGCCTTCATTGGCATCTCCTCCACCATCTTCCTGGCTTCCTCGAGCAACCCGGCTCGACCAAGCAAATCGACCATGCACCCATAATGCTGCAAGGTTGGCCTTATCCCATAACCATTCTTCATCATATCAAAGTAAAATTTCCCTTTCTCCACCTTCCCACCGTGCACGCAAGCGCTCAACACCCCAACGAAGGTTACATGGTTAGGCCTCACCCCAACCTCTCTCATGCAAAGAAAACAATCAAGCGCTTTCTGAACATGACCATGCACTGCGTAGCCAACAATCATGGACGTCCACGAAGAAACATTCTTTTCCTCCATCCTTGAAAAAACTAAATATGCTAAATCCATTCGACCACACTTCCCATACATATCAATGACCGAATTCAACATCAAAATGTCCGATTTTCCCGAACTTTTGGCTTGAAAAACACACTTATGTAGCTGAAGAGCCAAATCCAAATCGCCTAAACTACCGCAGGACGATGTCACACTAACCATAGTCACATCATCAGGCAGAAACCCACATTTTTTAAGCTCCAAAAACATATCTATCGCTTCTTTAGCACGCCCACTTTGAGAAAGCCCTCCTATGATAGCATTCCAAGAACCCAATTTCCTGTCCGGATTTTCATCGAACACTTTCCTCGCATTCTCAAATTCTCCCGCTTTTGAAAAAACGTTGATAAAACCGCTCTCACAAAACTGATTTAGCTCTAGGCCGATCTTTATAGCGATGGAGTGCAGCTGGCAGCCGACGTTAAGAGCGAAGCATTGACACGTGGCCTTTAAGATAATGGGGAGAGTGTAACAATCGGGGAGAAGCCCAGCTCTAGACATAGTAATGTAAACGTAAAGAGCTTTAATGGGAGCATTTAGTCTGGTGTAGGATCGGATAATGTGTTCCAATGAAACGCGGCCGGGTACGTTCGAGAACGCGCGTTCGGGTGATGTGGGCATAAACTTGATCCAGGTGGAGTACGTTGGAGCAGTTTGACAATAGATTGGGCAAAGTTTTGGCTGGGTCTTCTGCGTTTGGATATGGAAATGATGAGATCGTTTCACAAATGGAAGATAGGGGAGTCGAGGCGAGATTGTGATTGAGATGGGAAACAGTGGTCAGGTGTTTGGAAGTCGGCGTTCTAGGAACCAGAAGTTGGAAGCGCAATGAGTTCATACGTAGGATAGGAGATTGGGATTCAGTTGCTGTTGTACCCTGGCAGAAAACATGAGACAACAAGACTGTTTCTAGTTTTTCTTGCCTGTCTGAAAACTGTGAAAACTGGGCTTTGCAAAATCAAACGAATCAATTCCAATACTGAGAAATGAGAAGCCGCTCTTGGAGTCTGCAATGTATAACTTGAGCTTGGTGGCTGCTAGAATTGCTAAATTGTTTTTACTTATTTATTTATTTATTTGAGGAGATAGACTGGAATTCAATTTTTATTTTAATATAAACACATACACTTATTATTTAATTAAATATACTTAATCATATAAAGACATCTCATAAATATTTAAAGATAATTTTTTTTAAATATTCAAAATAAATATTTTAAAATTATTATAATTATTTATTTTCAAAATTCTCAATTTTCAAATTTATTTATTAATGAAATCACAATATTTGATTTACTATGGGTGCATAAACATTATACACTAATAGTATATCAAATATAATTTTTTTTAATTTATTATTAATACACAATCAAATCTATAAACTTGATATATTTGGGTTTTAGATTTTAAGTTCCATTTATTGGATTCTGTTTATAATACAAAAGATTAAAAGAATTTTGAAACTAAAGATAACTTTATCACTATGCTATGAATTAACATTAACTTTTACCACTACATTTCAATTTTAGTTAAATTTTTATCAACGTACTTTTAGTTTTGTTGGTTTTTTTAACATAAACAACAAAAATAATATAAATTTGATATTTACATTAGGAAAATATTTTTTTGAAATATTATAATTTCATTGTTTTTATTAAAAAATCAACAAAAGTAAAAGTAAAGTGACTAATTTTACCATTTCCATTAACAGAATATTTTATAAAATATTTTAAATCCGTTACTTTTGTTTAAAATTCAATGAAATTAAAAGTACAATGGTAAAATTTAATAAAATTAATATATAATAACAAAATTTAATACTGAGTTATTGTTACCTTAATCACAAAAACTTTATATTCTTTCTCCTTTCCATCCTCCGGACCAAACAAAGATTACCTCATGAAAGCCCTTCTTGTTCTCTTATTGTTCTCCCAATTCAATTTGTTAATAACCAAAAGTAAAATAGAATAATAAGAATTTGGCCATCAAACTTTTAAAAAATGTGTAATTGAGCTGTCAATTATATGTTCAATACTCAACAAGCTTTGAAGAACGGGCTAGGCCCAAACACAAATTCCTTTCAACAATATGAATGGGCTAGGCTCAAAGGCCAATTCCTTTCGTTTTAGAGTGGCTTTTATGCCAACGACACCGTTCCACAGGAACCAAAAAGCATAAACTACGTGTCGTTTCTCTTGCATAACATTCCGTTTGAAACCATCGGGTGGAGAACACAGAAACCAGAACCAAAAATATTCCGCTGCACGACGGTCGGCAGAAGCTCCACCCATCTGCAAACGCCGAAAAAGATGCAAGACCAAACCGAAGCACCGACGGAAACCAACCTGGACCAAGATGAACGAACGGTGGAGATTGATTTATCATTCACCACCACTCTCGATCTCACCAGCTTCCAGCTCCACGATCTCGACTCCGTGGAATTGCCGCCAAACCTCACCGAGTTGGACCTGACAGCGAACCGCTTATCGAGCTTGGACCCTCGGATTGCGAATCTCATTTACCTCAAAAAGCTCTCTTTTCGACAAAACCTCATCGACGATGCTGCTATCGAGCCGATCTCTCGCTGGGACTCGTTATCTGGTCTTGAGGTAATCCTATTTTTTTCTATGACTCCCTTAAGCGTTTCGCTTGTTTTAGTTATCTAATACCTTTAATTTAATTATTTACTTCTGGTTATTGCTTTACTGTACTTGTTTTTGACCAAAAAAGAAATGAGTGTAGATATGAATGTAAACAGTACTTCTGGATAATCAAAATTAAGAATTTATTTCTTTAAACTAATAAGATGCATAAGTTTACGTTTGTATGAACTAATTATGTTCGTGTGCTATATTTTAACTATTTACTTATTTTTAATGAAATATTTGCAAATATTTCTTTTCACTTTTTTTCTTTAGTTGTTAGCTATTTTTGAGAAGGTGAAAAGCAAATTTAAACAAAAAAAGAAGTAACAATCAGAGCCTTAATTATTTTATCAAGTAAGTAAAAAATTTCTAGTATTTTCTTTTCTTGTATCCACTTTCCTTTTCCTGTTATGCAATGTTGATTATTGCTAGAATTATGAAGGAGCTTGGGGTCCTTTATTTATTTATTTTCTCACAGGAGTTGATACTTAGGGATAATAAACTGATGAAAATACCAGATGCCAGCATATTCAAGAAGCTCCTGGTTTTTGATGTTTCTTTCAATGAAATCACTTCATTGCACGGATTGTCCAAGGCCTCCAGCACAATCAAAGAGCTCTATGTCTCCAAAAATGAAGTTACTAAGATGGAGGAGATTGACCACTTGCATGAGTTGCAAATTCTTGAACTTGGTTCCAACAGATTACGGGTTAGTTCTCAAATTGCTTGAATAATCTTTCTTACATAACAAGCATCTGTAGTATGTAACAGGAACACATTTGACTTAAGCTTTTTCTCAGTTTTTGTTTCAATGTTGGAGTAATTTGTCTACACCTTTGACTCAAGTATAAAACTGGTGAGTTGTCCTATTAGTAATTTTTTGAGCATAATCTAAGAGTGCTTTATTGGCATCTCAGGTAATGGAAAATTTGCAAAATTTCACAAACTTACAGGAGCTGTGGCTGGGAAGGAATCGAATCAAAGTCATAAACCTTTGTGGGCTCACATGCATTAAGAAGATTAGCTTGCAAAGTAATCGATTGACTTCTATGATAGGTTTGGAGGTATGGCACTTTTAAAAATGCTTTTCTTTTTGCTGCTCTGACAAAATTTTATTTTCCATAATATTTGTTGAATGAATTTTTTTCTTTGGATCTTTTGTTTTCAAGGAATGTGTTGCCCTAGAAGAATTGTACTTGAGCCACAATGGTATCTCAAAAATGGAAGGCCTATCTATGTTGGCCAACCTCCGAGTATTAGATGTTTCATCAAATAAGCTAACATCAGTAGATGACATTCAAAACTTGACAAGGTATTGTACTGTACCCTTTCCCTCCCTGGGGATTTTATCCTATCTTCAGTTGTTGACTAACTTTGCCTGCAGGTTGGAAGACTTATGGCTCAATGATAACCAAATAGAATCACTTGAAAGCATAGCTGAGGCTGTTTCTGGTTCAAGAGAAAAGCTCACTACTATCTACCTTGAAAACAATCCATGTGTACGTTATCTGCAACTTGAGCACTTAAAAGTGTTTAGAATTTTGTTGTTTTCTTATGAATGCTTATAGATCCCAAATGATTTGCTATGGCTGATTGGTTGAGTATCTTGACTATTTATGGTTTCTATCTGGTTCTCATCATAGTTGGACCAGTATTCACTCTAATCTTTTTGCTATGGAGCTCCCATTTTTTGTCATTTTCTCCTGATTTAATACATGTTCCCTTCTCTCCAATATTATTTTCCTTAATTAATTTTCAATGAAGATGCTGAGTCTGTCGTTTGGTGCTCACAATTATATCACATTGATCTAAATTTGTTGTGGCATAGTTCGTTCTTCCTAGATTCAGTTAAATGAAGTCCTTTTGTCCAAGTCATCCTTCCTTGGCTTATTTCATTCAATTTAGCCATAGTATTATCTATATTAATGCCTTGTACTTTCACAATTGCTTATTAATGGTTGAAAATTCATTATCTTGAACTCTTTCAACTCAATGTTCTTTTCTGTCTGAACCTTTGTATATATGATTTGCAGGCAAAGTCTCCAAATTACTCTGCTACACTGAGACAAATTTTTCCCAATATCGAGCAAATTGATTCTGACGTTTTTGCGTAGAAGTTGTAATAGATTATTTTATATGTAGTTTGCTGAGTCTGCATATATTACTACAGAAAAACAGCGTTCCAAAAGGGTTCTGAAAAGGGTGGGATGTTGGTTAAATGCATTGTTAATCTTTGTTTGGACACTTTATTTGTTGTACCTGTTTTTCACGTTGAAATAACTTGCAAACAAGAACAATCTCAGCTACTTCATGGCGTTTCCACCAAAGAGATGGGACTCCTTTTTACCATAAGCGAAATGAGATGCAATACAACCTCTGTAGCCCAGCAAGTATAGTATCTCATGAATGTGAACGGGAAACCGAGTACAGAAAATTTGACCATAAATAACATAGGTATCAATCAAGATGGGAGTCCTGATTTATCAGCGTACACATGCCTATTTACCAGCAATCCTGTAGTAGTGATTTCGCAAATAACAAAATCTTTGACATAGCATGGCTGTTGTTAACAGTGAAGGGAAATATGATCATTTAAAATCTTCACAAGGCAAAATAAGCAACATCCCACATATTTGAAGAGAAAAAAAAAACTCACCCCAGAAGCTACTTCAGGGATTAAGATTCACTGAGCAACAAAGATCAGAAAAATTAACAAGCTAAAGAGTCATATAACATTAGCCAAGAAATACATAGGATACTTAATGTCCTCTTTCAAAACCAATGCGAGATCTACTAGAGCCTCCTTCATAGCCATCTCGCATGGAAGAGCCTGCACTTGCCTTCATTGTCCCTCCAGAGCCCACTTTTTCCATGGCTTTCTTACCCTTCTTGACCTCTGTCAAGAACTGATCCAGACCAAATGGATCAGCTTCCTCAGCTTCCTTTTCAAACTCAACAGGCCTATCCCTTGGACCACTCCTCTCAGAAGTACCACCAAATGCCTTGTCAGGTTTAAACCTATCAGTTTTCATCATTTTCTCTAACTGCTCATCTGCACCACCATACATGTCAGAATCCACGTCTTTCTTTGGTCTATAGAGTGTTGAGAGAGTCGGCTGTGCTGTGAACAGACCCTTGTCATAGATGTTGTATTGATCATCAGTTGCAAATCCAGAATCCATTCCTTTCTCCTGGTTAAATAACCTTTGATCATACATCACTTCCCCACCTCTTCCAGCTCCAGTAGAAGCCATACCAAGAGCAACCTTTTCACTGATATCTCTATCCCTATCCCTTGTAATCTTACTCTTTTTACCCATGGCAGCATCTTTGGCCTCCAACCTTCTCTCCCTCTCCCTTTCTCTACGTCGTTCTTCACGTATTTTCTCCCTCTGCGACCGCTCCTCCCTTTCTTCCTTTGATTCCTTTGGCATATCTCTTTCTCTCTCCCTCACTGGCTCATAAGCCACTCTCATATCAGTATCCATCGCATTTCTGTCAGACAACATTGGAACAGCAGCGGAAGGTGCCACTGTCCCAGTTCTCTCAGAACGAGCTTTAGCAGCTAAAGCTCGCAACTCCTGCTCCTTCCTTTCCTTCTCCTTCATCATCATCTCTTTCTGCACCTTTGATCTCATCGACACAGCTTCTCTAGCCTTCTGCTCTGCAACATACAAAGCCTCAGACAGCTTCGCAAAGTTATCATTAATCTGTACATCCTGTAAACCTCTTCCATCAGCAGCAAGACGTTTATCCAGTGGGATCGTATACCCTTTTGGATTCTTCCAGTTTGAAATGCAAGGTGGAATTTTCCAGTCCTGCTGATCCTTCACAGTCACAGGCCGTGGAGGGGAATGCATCACCGGCACAGGTGGAGACCCTGAAGCCTTTGGGACCCTCTTATGCTTAAACTTGGGAGGCTCAAGAGGATCCACAGGCATCTCCACCATTCTAATTATCCTCTCTTTAGCACCTGAATTAAATGCAGCCGATTGCTGTGAAGGCTTATACTTAATATACTTTGAATCAGAAGACTGTTTAGGAACATTCTTCGGCTGTGCAGCACTCAATCTCACATTCACAATCTTCTCTAAGGCTGCCTTAGTTTCTTGCATTGTTTCCTCAATCTCTTTCTGCCTCTCTTCCTCTTCCTCCTCATCACCACCCTCTTCCTCACTCCTCAAAATCTTCGGTATCAAATCCTTATGCTGGGAGTAAACAATCTTTTTTGCGTTCTCATTCTGCTTGACTATCGCGTCATAAGCCAAATTTCCATGAGCATCAACGGTCACGGGAAGAATCTTCGAGCCTGGTTTCGCCCCTTTTTCTCTTCCCATACCAAGAGGGTATTGAGCGATATGTATTTCAGGGAAAGCACCTCCATCTCCAAAGTCTTCAACTTTTCTGGGAACAAATCCGGCGCGTTTCGTATAAGGCGGTACCGGTTTTGCCTTTATTGCCGTGGAGGACTTCTCTTCCTCCGACGAACTAAACCGTTGTCTAAACCATGGGTCGTTTGCGTGGTCGTAATACGTCGACGTTGAGTTTTTCGCGTCTGGTAGAAGATCCTTTAAAGCCACCATGGCGGATCGAAAGCTACCAGATTTCTGCCTAACAAATAAGCGAATTGAAATTCTAGATTTAACTTTCTTAAATAAAGATTTAAAAAGCCAAGCAAAAAAAAAAAGCTTCGAAACCATAACTTGAAAACCCTAATTAAAAACGAGAGAGAGAGAGAGGAATACCTTCAAAAGCTCTTGACTATCGGTCAGGTTAACGATTTGATTAGAAATCGAACTGGATCGCTTCTACTTCTACAATCGAAATTTTGCTATGTCGGCTGTTGAAAGGGAATCCGGGAGAGGATTAGAATTAAAGGGTTAGGCGCGCTGATAAAGGGGAAAAAAAAAACAAATGGTTAAGGAATACACGGGAACACCACAATAGACATGAGATTGAGTACGTTTGGATTTAATTATCTATTCATACAAAAGTAACACATTTAAAATATATTTAATTTATTGTGTTAATTGTATTTTCATGTTTAAACATTTATATGTGACACGTTTACTAATTTATTAAAGTTAATAATTAAATACTATTTTAGTCTCATACAAAGAATTTTAAATAATTATTTTATTTTTTTTTTGAATTTTATAAAAATAATAATGTAATAACATCAAAATATTAATTTTTTAAGATAATACTTTATATTTAATTTTAAATTTCATTTAACTTTTCTATTTTGATTAATGTTATTAATATATTGTTTCTATTTAAAAATTAAATTTTATGATACCGAAATGATGTGACATTTAGCAAGTGAATTTTTTATTTTGATTTTGATTTTGATGTTTAAAATTGTTCACAATTGATGATGTAATTAATTATATATATTTAATTATAATTAAAAATTATAGATAATTTTAGATATTATTAGTATTTTAAGATTAAATGTTAATTATAGATTGTATTTGTATGATAATAATTTTATATATGTTATTTATGTTAAATTTTATTATATTTGATATTGTTACTATTTTGCTATAATCATTTTTATAATTATTAATTTTAAAATTTAATAATAAAATTATATTTAATTGTAAATATTTTAATTTAATAGTGTTAAATGTGTTAATCATGTTAGAGAAAAATTAGGTTTAATTATATTTATTAATCTTATCATGTCATATAAAAAATCTTGATATGTTTAATAAATATATCAATCGTGTTGTATTATACGAATTTTAAATATATAAGTGTATGTGTTTTTAAATGCTAACATAAATAATTATTTATCTCATATTTTAATTTAATTTTATCATATTTTATATTTTAATTGTTTTGATATAATGAAGATGTAAAAACATTAATTATCATGTCTAAGTTAAGACTCTCAACTTTATACGAGTTGTGGATTGGGCCATAATTGAAAGCTTTTCTGATAACAAAATATTGAGTTGCTTTGGTGTTATAAATGGAGAATTAATTAGGTTTCGGATAATATTTCAAAAAAATTACATTAAATGAATTTATATTTAAAAATAATAATATTAGGAGCAAGAGATAAAATTTTAATTAAAAGTTCAGATATGTTAAACTCTATTCAATCAATATAACTCTGTGATTAAGTATCCCACTTATATAAAAGGGTAAATGGAATGGCTATGTTATTTTTCATATGATTATATTAAAATACTATAATTTGTGCTTTAAATTTCAACTTTTTGACTATAATAAATCCTATTTTCATTTTTTAAAACAATCATGTCATCAATAAGATTTAGATTTCTCAATTATTTTGATTTTTTATTATTTATAAAATAAAATTTAAATTCTCTTATTTTTTATTAAAAATGATTTAATACTTAAAAAATATTTCAATTATTTAAAAAATTAAATAAATTATTATTATTTTATTATATTTAATTAATTTTTATATTTTTATTTTTTAGTTAAATAAATTTTTATTATTAATGATTGATTAATTGTTATTAATTAAAATATCTTTTATTATTTTATATGCATGTAATATTAATATAATTAAAGTGAATAATAAAAAATATAATTTTATCATGTTATAATTTATTATAATATTTTAAAATGTTAGATCAATGTCACCTCCCTGAAAGAAGACAAGTAATTTTTTTATTAATTATAATTAATTAAAAGTTAATAGTAAAAGTTTAAAATAAAAATATAAAAATTTAATCAAATATAATAAAAAAAATTGTAATAATTTAAAAATCTTTTAAATATTATGCTAAAACATATTAATAAAAAAGACATAAATTAGTTATGAATCCATAGCTGCAAATCCAATGGTAAAGTACCCCAAAAAGAAAAAAAAGACAAAAACGTATTTTTCCTCCGTTTATCAAAAGCTAAAAACCAAAACGCCATTTGCATTGTTAGCAAGTCAAATAACGTTAAGCCACGTGTCAAACCACGCAGAACCTAGCCAATCAAAGGTCCGTCCCAACGAACAATAATCTCTCGCCACGTGCAAATCAAGGTCAATCTCGTCATTATGATCCCACATAAAATACCCCGCACCGTCATTTCACAGCAGGGACAGTTTCGTAGTTCCCTCATTCCTTCTTACTTCCTACAAGGTCTTCTCTCTTCAGTCCACTCATAACACACCTACAACGGCAACGACTAAGTCCCCTCCGCGGTCTCTCTCTTCCTCTCTTCGTCTTTTCGCATCGGACCGTTGATTGGCCGTAAATGTCGGCGCCAGAGGCCTCATCCGCCGCCGTCCCAACGCTAACGACCAACAACACCTTACGAAACGCTTTCGGCG